CATTAGCTGTGCTTCCCGTGTCCCCTACAGCAGTGACAGGGGTGGCAGTTAAAAACTGCGAGTCAGAGCTCACTGTTGGGAGCCCTCCAGAGGCTTTTAGCAGCGTTGACTGAGCTCTGCCCCTTCCTCCGGCTCAGAGTCCCCCGGTGCTGGGCCACTCCCTGGCTCAGTCCCACCTGCCCCTGGCCCCTGGACTCAGCCTTGCTGAATCTGCCGCCCGGTGGCCTGGAAGGCTACCTCCCCACGGGGCCCATGTCCCCTTGTGTGGGGTGTGGTTGGACTGGCACCTGAAGTTGTCTCTCAGCCGACCTGGCCCCTGCCTGCTTGCAGGAGCGGTGGTCCCCCTCCTCCCCCTGTGTCCAGCTTCGGTATGAGCTGGGCCATGGTGATAGTGTCCTCTACCCATGTCGACAAACACGACAAAACCTGCCTCCCTTCTTCCCAGAAAGGCAGCTGATGGCACACCATGATGGCACACTGTGCTGGGGGTGAGCAGGCCCAGGGCTTCCGCTCGGTGCCGCTGTCCGTGGTKCTGACCCCCTGACCCACCCTCTGTCAGCCCTGAGCACCGGTGTTCTGAACACAGGGCACCTGGTGCCTTAGGCAATCTCCCAGCATCTATGGCTGAGCACACAGGTTAGGAGACCTGCCCCGAGTGACTGCGGGGAGATGGCAGGGGCTCGTCCGGGGCTGCCTACACGTGGAGCCCTAGCACCCAGCTGTCATGCCACTTGGCCTCTCCTTCACAATGACATCACCCCATGGGGCCACTGGGGTGACTCAGAGGCTGAGCACAGCTCGTGCAGCTCCATCCAGCGACCTCTGACAGCGAGTCAGAGGGGCGTGACCTTCCCCCCCACTTGGCAGAGGTGGAGCTGAGCTCAGAGAGGTGGGCGCCTGCCAAGGCCTCTCAGAGCCCCAGGTCCCTCCAGCTGCCCATCCAGCTCCGAAGCTGGGGCAGTGTCTCCTGGCTCCTGCTTTGGCTCCTAAGGAGAATGGGCCACCCAGGACAGAGGAGAGGCTTTGTGAAGCATGTGGCTGAGGGCGAGGACTTGGGAGAAGGGACCAGTGGCCCTGTCCTGAGTCCCAACCCTCCTGACAGGCCTCGGGGTATCAGGCTTCCCACTGAAGTCCCTGCGTCCCCAGGCCAGAGCCCAGCCTGCTGCTCTTGTGATGGATCCTGCCACCCCCAGCCTTGCTCCAGGGCCACCTTGTACCCCACCCTCCCTCACCCTGGGCATCTGCTAAGCTGCCCCCTTGCCCAGATTYCCCCCATCACCCTCTTCTCTCCTCTGGACAGAGGCCTGCTGGGCCCAGTGTGGGCTTGCCCTCCCAGCTCTTAGAACCCAGGGGTCCAGCTCTGCACCCACCCTGGTCCTCCAGGGCTGGAGTATCTATCCTTTGCGACTTCACTTAGTTTTTGTTTTGTTTTGTTTCTGTTTGTCCCCAGAGGGAGTGCAGGACTCTGGGTCGCGATTCTGGTTTAACTTTAGCCAAGTGCAAACCTTCCCATGTGTGTCATCTCATGAGACCTCATTACAGCCCTGCAGAGCCATTGTCACCCCGCCCAGGGACAAGAGGCCGGTGCAGAGAGGCTGGGCTTCTGAGAGGCCGCACAGCTGTTGGGTGGTGTCTGGACTCTGACTCCGAGGCTGTTACACACCAGGCAAACACCAATCGCAGCCCAGGACCTTAGGATGAGACTGTTTGGGGACTAGGCCTTTAGGGAGTGACTGGGTGAAGGTCAGACCATGGGTGGAGTGGGCCCTCCCCAGTACTGCTGGTGTCCTCCTAAAAACAAGAAATCGGGACACACGGGCACCGGGGTGTGAGAGCACAGTGCAGGGAGATGGGCACCCTCATGCCCAGGAGACGGGCCTTGGGAGGAGCAACCCAGCTGGCACCTTGATCTTGAGCTTCTGGCTCCTTGACTAGGAGAGCCAAGCGTCTGCTGTCCAAGCCGCTGTCTGTGGCATTTTGCTGTGGCAGCGGGAGCCCGGCAGGGTGGACGTGAGGTGGCCTGAGTGCTCAGCGCACGTTTGAGGCCAGGCCATCTTTTGGAGATTTGCTGAGGAAAGCAGTTTTCCCAGGACTGTCTCCTGCGCTCTCAGTGTCCCTGATAGGCCAGCGGGGGAGGCTTTCCGTGGCCTGGCCCTGGGCAGGATGCTCCTTCCCTCCCTGCAGCTGCTTGGTTGCCATGGTAACAGTCTCTGGTGCTGAGAGCAGACCTTGCGTGCTGCTTCCGCKGCGGCAGAGCAGGTTCCTGCCAAGGCACCTGGATGGCCACGCGTTGCTCCCTTGATCAGTGGAGCCAGAGGCCACAGATTCCCTCCCGTCCAACGTCTGTCTGCACTCAGTTCTGCCTTGCTGAGGGCCCCAGCCAGTCCAGCGAGACCCAGCATCAGGGCCCTGGGGCACCGACCATAGGGAGGGCTGCCACGGGGCGGACCTGCGCCTGCTCCAGGCCAGCCCGGCCCRGCTAGCCCTGCCTCTGCCTCACAGAGGTCCTGGGCATGGTGCTGCCCACCCAGCGCCTCCGTCTCCTGCTGAGTGGATGGGAGAGGGCAGCCCTTCCTGCAGAGAAGGCCAGCTTCTCTACTCCGGTGGGTGGCATTCGCTCGCTGTGTCTCAGGCTAGCCCTCCTGGCATCCTCGCCGAGGCCCACTGGGCGTGGCTGGAATGGCCGCACTGCCCTGGCCTGCACGGGTGACGTCCTCACCATTCTCACTTAGCTCTTCACCAGAACCAAGCGGGGAGCTTTCCCCATCTCACGGCCCCGCCCCACTGACTGTTGGCAGATACGCCCCTGGAGTGGAGAGCGTGCCAAGGCTAGAGGACTGAGAGCCAGGGATGTGGGGACCCTCTTCCATATGTCACCAGCCCTCATGATGCCCTCCATGCTGGTGTGACCCTGGCTGGGTCTTCTGATAGTGCAGAGCCCCTGACAGCAGGAGACAGAGGGCTTCTATAAAAGTCTCTGCAAACCCGTAGAAGGCCGTGTGACCAGGCGCCCCGTGTCCTTGCAGGAGAGCCAGGAACTTCACTCTTGGGTGGAGTGCACCCCATTTCTGAGCTTCACTGATTCTCTTAGCTGCAGCTTAGGATCCACAGGTTGGGCTGAACAGCCAGGGCATCCACACATCCACCAACCTCAGGGTGACGAGGCCTCATCCTGAGGGCAGGGGGTGCACCCACCCTCCAGGGCTGCATGCGACACCCATCCTCATCTCTCCAAGCTCCTTGGAGCTGCATCACTGGACCCTGGCTCATCCTGGCAGGGCCTCCCCCTCTGATGACTGTCCTCTGTGTCTCGTGAGGACGCTCGTGTTGGATTTAGGGCCCCACCTGGGTAATTCAAGGTGATCTCATCTCGAGATCTTGAATTACATCTGCAAAGACCCCCTTTCCAAATAAGATGACTCTCACACTCTCTGGGGGTTATGGACACCTTTTGGGGGGCCATCCTCAGCCCAGGGCTCTGGAGAAAATAATTGCTCAGTCKAGGAGGGGACTTTACCCATTGTCCTCGTCCTGTCTGTGTGACCTGCTCCTCTCTCCTGAATCTTCCTGTGCCCCACAACTTTTCTTGTAGGGAATATGATTCTTAGCTGCCAAAGAGTGATGGGGAGTTAGTTAGTCAGAGCCCCCCGGACAGCTGGAGCGGAATCAGGCRGGAAAGTGGAGGGGCTCTCAATGCACCTGATTATGCCCCTTCCCAAGGGAGGCCCATCCTGAGGCGGGCCTTGGACAGCAGGGTCCCACACGTGGGTTCACACAGCCGCTCAGGAGCTGAGGAGGGGCCAGGGGCCATCCTCTAAAGGAAAGTGCGTTCCCTGCTCATGCCCACCCCCTCGTTCTGCAGACATGGAGACAGGCTGCAGGGCAGAGGTCTCCCTGCTCCGGAGACAGGCCCTGATGCCCAGCCCAGGGCCTCTGGCTTCTGACCTGGTTGCCCAAAGCTGGAGCCGTCCAGGTGGTTGCTGTGGCTTACACACGCATGGTCGTGCGGGCGAGTGAGGCTGCCCTTGCTGGGCCCTGGGGCTTCTGCCACGGCACCTCCCTGACCAGGAGCCCACTATCAGGCCCATCCTGGGGTGACTAAATGAAATTCAGCAGGGATGGCATCCCTTCTCATTCATTAGCTCYGTCACATACCCAATGGCTTCCATGAAGAGGGAGGCAGCAGGACCTGTGGGTTCAGGGACCTGGTGGCCCTGACCCAGTGGGATGCCCACGGCCTGTAGGACACCATGCTGCCCAGGGGCACTGGCTTTGGCTTCAGAGGGCAGCACTGCCCATTGGCTCCAGGGCCCTGCTCAGAGGGCTCCCAGGTCCTGGCCATGACCGTGTTGTGCCTGTGGAGACCAAGCCTGCTCACAGAGTTCCTTATAGCGTCCACTGTGCCCAGCATCCTTTGCAAGAGCAAGATTCTCCCCAGGTGCTCTGGCTGTGACAGCCACTGTCCTGGGCCACTGAGAGACCCAGGCTTTGGGGCCTGCGACTCCCCAGCCTGCACATAGGCACAAGTTGGAGCTGGCCCAGAAAGGACGGAGGCCCTTTCCCCACAGGAGACCCCGATGCCGTGGGCAGAGGGGAAAGGAGCTGGGGGAGGGGGCAGAGGACCACAGGCTTGGTTTCAGACACAGTTAGAGTGACAGAGATGTTGAATCCTTCACCAAGAGCATTCCTGATGAGTATGTAGTAGGTGCACAACAAAATCTCCTTTTGCTCAACAATGATAAGGGCTGGGAGCCACTGGGGAGAGGGCTCAGGGTGGGAGGGAGGCAGTGGGTCCAGCTTTGCAAGGTCAGTGGACACCGCATGAAAGGGGGGCAGCAGGCACTGCCCCACGCAGCTCTGTGGCTCAGGGGCCTCTCTGCTGCGGTGTTGTCCAGGGGTCCTGGGAACAGAGGTGCACAGCCTGGTTCTGGGGGCCTTGGGGGCAGGGAAAGGGGAGCAGCCAGGGTGCCGTTGCTGGCCTTCCTTGACCTTGCCCCCAGACATCGTGGACATCAAGCCGGCCAACATGGAGGACCTCACGGAGGTGATCACGGCCTCGGAGTTCCACCCCCACCACTGCAACCTCTTCGTCTACAGCAGCAGCAAGGGCTCCCTGCGGCTCTGCGACATGCGGGCGGCGGCCCTGTGTGACAAGCACTCCAAGCGTAAGTGCCATCCCAGGCCCTGCAGAGGCGGGGCGAGCTGCACGGCCTGTCTTGGAGCTGGGGGCGGCCGGCGTGGGCCGGGCTGTTCTGCTGGTCCTGCTGCCCAGGAGCCGCCCAGCTTCCAGGGTCTGGGACTCTAGGGCCAGGGCCAGGAGACGCAGAAGTGAAGGAGGTGCTGCTCTAATGGTGTTACCGCTGTTGACCGGTGACGAGTCCTTGCTTCCCCAGTGATGAAGAATAACACCAGAGAGCACGCCGAGGCAAGGCCAGAGTGGAAATTAGGAGTTTATTAAAGGACAGCAGAAAAGACTTCTCCCGGAGGAAGAAGGGGACCCAAGAGGTGGAATCCGTGGAAGTGCGGTTGTCTCCCCTTTTTATAGTTCTTCCAGTGATGGAATGTAGGTTGGAAGGCCCGAGGGGTGGGACACAGGTGGGCCAAAGAAGTAGTCTGAGCAGGAAGGACTTCATTATCACTTCTTTGAGGTGGACTTTGGCCTAGGGCCTTTTCGGGACTTCATTAACATTCCATGAGTTGTCCTGTAGTCATTCCCAGCATGGCCTCCATTTTAGATTTCACTCGATGTTAGACCCGATTTACCTAACTACACTGACTACCTAACTTTAAATCTGGCTTCAATGTCACCTTCTCGGGCCCTCCCCTGACGCCACATGGGGCCAGGAGCCTGCTCTGCCCATCCCAGGCCTCATCCTCCTCCCTCGAAGAGCTCCCTGGGGGCTGCTCCCTCGTCCCCTGCAGCCCGAGCCCCTCTGGGTGTGGAATGTGTGGCCCGTTCATCCTGGAGCCCCCCAGAGGGTGCCCTGGAGGCCCAGGGGAACAAGCCCTCAGCAAGACAGCCACCACAGCCCACCTTCTGAACACTCGGCTGAGCCTGGCCCCCAGAACTGAGCATGGGGGGGGCTGGGCTGCCTGGTGCTGGCTGTGGCCCCAGTTGCCACATGGTCTCCAGAGGCCCCTGGAGGCAGGATCAGGCTCCCTTCCTGTGGAGTTGCAGGCTGCACCCCTGCTGGGAGAGCAGGGGCCGTGTCCCTCTGGTCCACCTGCCCATCCGTCCCCAGTGCCTATTAACAGTGTCTGGAAAGAGACACCCCCTGAGCGAGTGAGGCCAGTCGGTGGCTGGCGGAGGGTGGGTGACACTCTCCCCTGGGTGCACGTGTCATGGGCAGTCAGCATGGATCTTGTTCCCGCCCTGGGGACTCAGGCTCAGGCGTTGACGCCTCCTGTGCCCTCTCCCTCCCTGAGCTTGTCCCTTGCTCCTGGCCACCACCACTCTCCTCCAGGCCTGCCCACGCTCCATGCTGCACGTCAGGAGCATTCAGCGGGCGCTGGTTCCCACCAGGGGCTTGCTTCAGAGTTGGGGAGACAGTGAACATGTACCTAGGCCACAGTGTCAAGTTCAGGGACAGAAGCCAGCGAGGGTATGGCAAGACACACCCCCGGGAGTGAGCCGCGGGAGTGGGGAGAAGGTGGTCCAGAGCAGGGCTGCGTGGGGCAGAGGCAGGGGGCCAGAGGGAGCGCGGGAAGGAGGGCAGGAGGCGAATCAGAGTAGAGCAGGGGCAGGTGGCTCAGGCCACCGCCCGCAGGTCAGGCCAAAGGTGAGAGGTCAAGTGTGCTCCAAGTGAGGTGGGCTGCGCCAGGCCTGGGACTCCCAGGCTCAAGCGGTGGTGAGGGGGGTTGACCTGGAGAGGTGGCAGGCCACCTGTGAGTGGGACATCTGCACACGAGGCTCCCAGGAGCACGGTCCAGCAGGCAGCCAGACATGGAGGCCTGGTGGCCAGGGAGAGGCCTAGGCCTTTGAGGTATCAGTGTGTGGACAGGACAGAGGGGAGGCCAGAGGCCACCTGAGGAGTGTGGGCAGTGCTGGCCCACAATCAGGCCCAGAATGGAGCTGTCCCCTGCTCTGCCACAGGGGACAACCACAGGGAGCAGCTTAGCGCAACACAAGTTCATTCTCTTCTTCGCGCAGGTCGGAGTGTGACACGGCCTCCTTGCCCCAGGTCAGGTGTCACCTGGGCAGGGCTGGCTCAGAGGGTACAGAGTAAGACGGGAATGGACGGGTCCAGGCCCTGACTCCCTCGGAACCCCGTGGAGGGAAACCGAGGCTCCGGGGCACATCCTTCCTACAGGACAGGAGCTGAGGCACCCCGTGTCCAGGACAGCAAAGGGCGACTCGGTGACGTCGACGCCTGCATCATGGAGCACTGCTCGGTCCCTTGTTCTGATATCGTCTTAGAGGATTTTTAAATGACGTGGAAATGTTCCTGGGAGGAGGTTCAGTGGGGGACAAAAGAGCAACGAGCGCTTGGCCAAAGAGGGAAGCAAGGGAGCCCCGGAAAGGATGGGGCCAGGACAGGCCGCTGGCCACCGAGAGCGGCCGACACGCTGTTCCTGTTTTTCTCTCTGTTTGTGTTTAACAGGTTCAAACCTTGAATCAGCAAACATGGGTGGGAAGGGGACACAGAGGGGCACAGAGACTCTTGGTGCCATGCTGCTCCATTGTCGTGGGGGGGGGGGGTAGAAATCAGAGTCCCTAGGCTCCTGCAGCCCGTGTCACCCTGGTCCCCTGGGTGTGCGGGAGCACCTGTGTGCTTCCTGAGCTGGGCTAGAAGCATGGATTCCAACCACGTGACCGCTGCGCTCCTGGTGGTGAGCCAGCCTTGTCTGAGTCACAGGCAAACCTGAGAGTAGGAGGCACGGAGCTGTATTTTCCATGACTCAATCCAATTTTCGTTCTCGCCCCATCCTCCAGAGCTGCAGGGAGCATTGCTTTGGGGCCCTGGCAGACCCCTCCCCATAATGCACTAGGTTCCAAAGTCGAGGTGTTCAGGGAGTGATGTTGGGTCTTCCAGAACATTGTTTGGCATGGTGCTAGGTGACATGTGGCCAGGTGCCTCCGGAGACATCCCTGTGGCCTGTTTTCTGGCTGCCCATGATTTCCTGGGAGCATCCTGGTGTCCAGGCCCCTCCCTGGCCTGTGGACAGGCGGCCATGTGCGCGTCGCTGGTTTTATGTAGGCCTCTGTGCATGCTCCTAGGTGAAGTTGGCCTTTAATTTTCTTTCCCTATTCTTTGCCCAGTTTTGTTAAGGTTAGTTGATTTCCTACAGCGAGCTGGGTAGCTCTGTCTTCCTCTTTCTGGAACTTGGTGGAGTAAACCTGCCCCTGGCGTCTTCGTGAAGCTCACGTATGAGCCTATCCAGGGATTGAACCCAGGGGCCCTTGACCACTGAGCCCCATCCCAGCCTTGTTTCGTATTTTATTCAGAGACAGGGTCTCACTGAGTTGCTTAGCAGTTCACGTTGGTGAGGCTGGCTTTGAACTCTCGATCCTCCTGCCGCAGCCTCTGGAGCCACTGGGATTACAGGTGTGGGCCGCTGCACCTGGCTGGCTCTCATGTCTTTTTTGAGAATAATTTTTTTTTTAAAAAAAGGTCTATTTCCTTTTGATTAGTGGTTTATGTGGTTTATGCAGATTTTCTATTACAGTTAATTCTGTATTTTAAAATTTTTCCAGGATTTTTTATTCTCAAACTCAATAGCCTGCATATGGAATAGCTCTCTCTCTCTCTTTGCGTGCCGGGATGGACCAGGGCCTGGGCATGCCAGGCAGCCTCTACCTCTGGCCACAGCCTCAGCCCCGGAAGCTTTCTCTTCAGATCTGGTGACAGGCTGGTTCCTGCTCTGGACGCCTTCTCGGCTGGCTCTCCTTGTCTCGTTTAGTTTGCCGTAAATGCGGGGTGAGGGCTGGGTTTCGCCCCACTGCCTGCTGTGACCAGGCCATGCGTGGTCCCGAGGCAGGGAACTAAGCAGGCAGCTGATTCCCGATTGGCAGGTGGTGGTGGCTGTTTCTGATCAGAACACAAACGATTGTTACTTTAGCTAACGTTTTTAGACCTGGAGATGGACTAGCTCCTGACTCCCACTTGTATCTGTTTGTCCACTTACTGCTCAAAACTCAGCATGGGTGCAAGCCCTCAGGGAGGCATGCTCACGTCAGCACTTCCTAGCAGGACAAACCTGCGATTTTCATTCACACTGTGACCCGAGTCCTGGACCACATGTGGATGTTTATTTCCGCAATGGACAGATGAGGAAACCGAAGGTCCAAGAAGCACAGTAGCTTCCTAGACCCTCCACATCAAGGTGGGAGGGCGCTTGGTACATGGCTCCAGCTTCTCTCTGCACTAGAAACCAGGGTCTTTTGTCTGCTAGGCGATGTGACAGGGTAGCCATGGAAACCACCCTCTGTGAGTCCTCAGAATAGACAGTTATTTCTGCATTTGACAGCTTAGCTGCGGAAGGGACGGGGCGGGCCTGTGGCAGAGGCTCCTCAGAATGGGCGGTGGCAGTCCAGACCCTTGGTGGGACCAGACGGCACTCCCAGCTGGTGCTGGGCACAAGGAGAACCCCAGTTCATGTTGCTGAGAGCTTGGGGCACAGCACGCGCTGCTCTGGGTGGGTGTCCATCAAGTCCCAGAGCTGCCCGGAGGAGGGCACGGTGGTGCATCCCACAGATGGAGCTGGGGAGCATCCCACCCCCGCTGCTGCCACAAGAGCCTGGGAGGCTGCTCTTCCTCTGTGGCTTGAAACAACACAGCTCTGGAGGTCAGGGAGTTGGAGGTGGGCGGCACGGGTTCCTAGGGCCTCCGGCGGAGTCCATCCCCAGCCTCCAGGGGCCTTGCCTTCCCCATCCCGTGGCTCCCCTCACCCTCCTCGCGGGTCGCTCTGCGCTCTGTCTCTCCTCCCTCTCTTCCTCTGCCGTGAGCTTCCTGCCTCCCTCTCAGAGGTCCCTGTGTCGTCACTTGGTGGAGATCCAGGATCCCCCCCTTCAGATCCTTTCTCCGTGTGCACAGGCTCCCAGGAGCAGAGAGCAGACATCTTTAGAGACTGCTGCCGCCTACCACGTTAAGGCATCGGGAAGTTAGGACATTGGCCCAGGTCACACAGTCAGGTGGAGCCCAGGTGGAGCCCTGTCTCCTGTCACCAGCCGCAGCTCCTTCTGTCTCCCCAGAAATGCTGAAGGCTGAAAACTCAGGGGAATTGTGGGTGAGCCAGGCTCACCTGGGGGAGCTGCATGGGGGCTCCCAAGGCGCATCCCTGACCCTGCACATGGAGCAGAAAAGCCAGACGGCCAGTCCCCCCAGCAGTCTGGGGGCAGAGTCAGGCCCAGCTGCCCCGAAAGGGAGCAGCCAGTGCTCAGGCCCTGCAGCTGGATGCTGAGGCTGGTGAGGCAGAGAAGTGGGCCCGTGGGAGGGGAGGCCAGGGGCACGGGTGGAGGAAGGCCCACATGGACAGGCTTCACAGGCCACGGGGAGAGCGACCCTTACTCTGAAGGGCCAGAGCCACAGGGTGCCTGAGTGTTCGGCAGGCTCCCCCTGGTGGCCAAGTGGAGAACAGACTAGGGGTGAGGTTGGAAACTGGGGACCAGTTGGGGGCTTAGCCTGTTAGCACGGGGCAGAGACGCAGTGCTCAGAGCATGGTGTCTGGCACAGGAGGAGAGGGTCACGTCCTCACCTCACAAGCCTGCTGGAGCCAAGGGTTGGGTGGAGGCAGGCTGGAGGGTCTGGGGATGGCTGTCTGGAGACGAGGCTCCTGCCGTGTGGAGGAGATGGGGAGACCAACTGACGCGCAGCAGGGGCCAGCAGGCATCATGGGCGAGCGACCCTTGGTCTCCCTCAAGGGGGGGAGAGGCCTCTGAAGCCACAGCAGTGCCCAGCCTAGGGCAGGATCCTGTCAGGCCACCCTTGCGAGCTGGTGCTGGACGTCACCAGTAGGAGGCAGCAGAGGGCAGCACTGGAGAGCAGATCTGGGTTCAGTCACCACTTTCCCCAGCTCTGACCCCCGGGCGTGGTTTTCAGTGTCTGCCTTGGTTTTCTTGGCTATAAAATGGGGRATAATCAGGGTATCAACTTGATACTTTTATTCAGGGATTAGATGAGATAATATAAGGGAAGACTTCACAGAATCTGACACAGAATAAATGTGTCACTGTTCCCACAATTGAGCCCTTTAGGTGCCGGTTCTTCCTCTGCTGGATGACAGCTAGGCCAGTGCCTGTTATGTTTGAACAAGTGACCTACAGACAGACAGCTGGGCCCAGGGTGGAAACAGTCTCCTGGCCCTCTGACCCATGGGCTGGGCACTCCAGTGACAGTGACCAACTCTCTCTGCAGTCTTTGAGGAACCCGAGGACCCCAGCAACCGCTCCTTCTTCTCGGAAATCATCTCCTCGGTGTCAGACGTGAAGTTCAGCCACAGCGGCCGCTACATGCTCACACGGGATTACCTCACGGTCAAGGTCTGGGACCTGAACATGGAGGCGAGGCCCATAGAGACCTACCAGGTGGGTGCCACCGCCTGAAGACCTCGGGCCGCTCCACAGGTGGGGTCCCACAGGAAAAGTCCCTGCACCTGGGGCCTCGGTTTTGAGGAGGAGATGGTGAAAACGAAGATGGACTTCAGGCTGGGTCTCATGCGGGGTGCAGGGTGCACCCCTCCTCTAGCATCTGCAGTCCTCTTGCTAAGTGAGGCGAGCGCTGCCCTCCCCCGGGAGCAGCCGGAGCGGGCAGGGAGTGGGCACGCCTCTAGGCCTCAGCACTGGGCTGTGGGCCGGGTGCAGGGTGAGAGCTGGCGCCTCCCTGGGAAGGGTGTGCGTGTGTGTCCTTCCTCCCACGGTCCACGCAGACCCTGCGGGTGGGCGGCCAGCGTCACGGGGTGCTAGACTCGCATGTGTTGCTGGGGGGGCAGGCTTCCTGGAAGAGGAGGCATTTGTACTAGACCTGGAGGCATGAGCAGGATTTGGTCATGCAGATGTGGCCAGAAAACACCCACCAGAAGCCCAGCTGGATCCTCATGGCGTCACCTGGGATGAGTGCATGGGGTGTCACACCTGCCACCCTGGGGTCACCTCCATTCCTTATGCCCCTGTGAAGAGGGTGCTGTCAGCCCTCCTGCAGAAAGGGAAGCCCGAGCTATAAGGGGCTGGGGTGTGAGGGAGGCGACCCTGACTCAGTGACCCACACCCCACTCCTCCCGGAGGCCTGGGAGGGGCGTGTCTTGTTAGGCACAGGGGTTGGGACTGGGAAGGGGCACAGAGCTCAGAAGACAGGGCACTCCGAGGCTGAGCTGGGCCGTGTGAGCAGTGCCCCTGGAGGCCAGTGCCCATGGAGCATCTCCTGGTGATGGCCCCTTATTTGGCCAAGGGTGAGGTACTATGGCCCCCACTCCACCCCCACTGCACACCCTGGGCAGGGATAGGCTCTTCTGTGTCCCTCTAGAAATAGCAGAGGCCTCAGAATGGGACAGGGACAAACCATGCCTTTCATGACCCTGTGGTCAGTGCAGACCCGTGAAGCACACGCCTTGATTTCAGGCGCTTTGAGAGGGGGGTGCAGAGTCTCTTGTGGGTCTCAGACTGGCTGGGGACCCAGCACGTGACTAACCATGTGCCAGGCTTCGTGGGGATCAGGGTCCCTTGGGCCACCTGCAGCACCTTGCAAACAGGGCTCTTTCTCTCCACCACAAGGAGTCTGGGGAGGGCAGCCCAGGAGCGGCCAGTTCCTGTGATGTCGTCCCTGTCCCTGCTCTCACCTGGCCCTCCTCTCACCAGGTCCATGATTACCTTCGGAGCAAGCTCTGTTCCCTGTACGAGAATGACTGCATCTTCGACAAGTTTGAATGTGCCTGGAACGGCAGTGACAGGTGAGCCCAGCCTTGGCCGCCCTGCATGTGGCAGGAGTGTTCTCGACCTGCAGGAGCTCAGCTGGCGACTGGGGTGACTGGGACAACCGTCAGGGTGGACACGCCTTGCTGAGTGAAGGTGTCGGTGCGAGGCCACACCCTGGGGCCATCAAGCGTGATGGCTGAACCCTAGTGCCTTTTCTCCATGAGGCAGAAGCATGTGGCACCTGGTCACTGTCATCTGTCCACACCTATGGGCCCCAAGACGGCCTCACTTCTCTACAGCAGTGACCATTGGTCTACCTGGCCCCTGCTCCCGCCATTATTGTGGCCACCATTGGCCGCAGCCCTGAGGAGGCCTTCCATTATCCATCCATGCAGTGGGGAGAAGGGGCCGGGTCCAGGGACATGGCCCAGTTTATCCACTCACGTGGATGGCCCCTGAGCTGCTGAGGGCTGCCATGCTGCTGTAGTCCTGCAAGGGGCTGGGCTGTGACCTGCTGTGGCTTTGGACACAGGGCTGGGAAGAGGGGGGGGACAGCGACTGGACCAGGGCTAGGAGGAAGCCACAAGGAGGCAGGCCTGGCCCCAGGTGGGCGGAGCCAGTGGTAACAGGAGCCCCTGGGCCTGCTGATGTCCTGGGGCAGAGCTGCCTGCAGGGCCTCTGACCAGAGCTGTGTGCAGTGGCCAGCCCGGTGGTCACAGGAGGATGCATAGAAAGCCAGGATGGCCCCCCAGGACCCCCTCTGGCCAGTGGACTGACCCCACTCCCGAGGAGGTGGGAGTGCTCAGACCCTCCTGTCCTGTGGCCCTCCCACACTTGGGGACTCCCTGGTGAACACTGGGAGGTGCAGTGAGAATCTCAGGAGAGGGACTTGGTGCTGAGCTACTAGGTATGTCCTTCCTCCACACGGGCACCAGGGGGCGCTCGTGATCTGGCGACGTCTGCACCCAGAGTCAGAAGTGCTGAGCTCCAGTGGCTGGCGCGTGGCCTCTGGGGCTCAGCTGTCCTGTCCTCCACCCAGCACTTCCTGTGGGGTGCACCTTTCAGGCCAGCTGTCTCGGCCCTGGTGGTCCCCACTCCTCCCTGCTTCCTGCTCCCGCCCCCACGAACCCGCCCTGAGTGCTCTGCTCCTGGGCGGCTCCTCCTGGCTTCCTGCAGGAAGCCCTGGGGTCCTCCCATAGCCCCCTGGGTGTTCCTCTCCTGTCCTGCCACCTACATGGGCTTTCCCATGGCCTCTGTCCTCTTGGCCTCCTGACCAGGACTAGACGGAGCCCCGAGGTGGGGTGGGCTAGGGTTTAGTCCGAGTGCAGCCCTCATTCAGCCAAGGGCTGTCGCATTTCTGGGGCACAGAGGCACCGGGCCACCTCTGAGCTTGTCCTGCCTGTGGCTGGGATCYCATGCTGCCCTTTGGGACTTCGGGGGCTCAGGGAGAAGCTGTGCTGCCCCAGGACCCCATTCTTGCACAATGAGGCAAAATCAAGCCTGCGGCCTGCAGCCGTGCTCCCTGGCTAATGGGAAGCTGAGCCCCCACTGGACAGAGGGGCAGTGAGGAGCTGCTGGTGCCACATTGTGTGTTGGGCGACAGCCCTGCAGTGACCCACCCATTCCAGCAAGGCACACGGTGGCTTCCTCTGGAGAGTGCCTGGTTACGTCGCTGGGCCCCTGAGTCTGCCCACCTGGAAAGTGACACTAATAAAGCCTGGCCGTCCATGGCTGTCTTGTGACGCCTGGCCAGGTGGCTCATCTGCAACTGCACACAGTTGGCAGGCCTGCGTTCTCCCTGGTCACCCGTGGGAGAATCCTGCTGCCCTCTGTGACAGCCCCAACTCACTCCTGTCCCTGAAGCCCCCTGCAGCCTGTCCTCTTGGAGCATCTCTGGTTGCAAGGCTTGGACAAGCCTCGTCTCCCTGGAGAAGTGCAGCAGGGCTCCCCAGGCTGGCCGCATCCTGGGGACCTCTCTTCTTTGTCCTGCCCACGTCTGCCTCCCTGCCTCCCCTCTGCCCTTCCTCCCTACGATGGCTTCCTCCTCCTTCCCCCCTTCCATCGCCCTCACAGCCCCCACCCCTCTCCCAGAGTGACACAGACACAGCCACCTTCTGAGGTCCCAGTAAGGCATGAAATGACCCTTAATCTGCCTGTCCCTCCCTCTCCCTTTCTCTCTCTGCCCCTCTCTCCTTTTCTTCCTCCCTATCTTCCTCCCCCACTTCTCTCCCTGGTGACTTCCTCTCCTCTTGCCACAGGCCTGCAGGTCACAGGTGACGAAACCCTAAACCTACCAGTCCCAGAGCATTGCACTTCCCCTGTGGTACCCTTGGAACCTTCCAGAACTATCCATAAGTGCTTGTTCCTCAGACTCCTCTGGTCATCACTGGCATATGCTCTCATTGAGACCCTGAGTGAACCCTCACCAGGAGGGCCTGGGTGCCCCAGGGACACCCACAGAGGAGCCTCCTGGGGCTCACTGCCCACCTTTTCCCTCAGAGCCAGCTGGGTGGAAGGGAGGTGACAGGCAAGGCCTCCACTGTGGCACAGTCCTCCCATGAGAAGGAAGCCTTGATAAGAGAGACATGTCCCCTGCAGCCTGGGTACACCTTCATCCAGGGCCGTGAGCCAGGTTCCTGAGCCCCACGGGACGCCCATCCTGTCCCCGCACGGCGCTTGGGAGGAGCTTGCCTCAGAAGCACAGCTCAGCCTCCAAGAGGAGAGAGCCCCGCGGGGCCAGCACCTCCCTGGGGTGCAGGCCACACCTCTGCACCCTCTCGTTGCTCTTGGAGGCCCCTCCTCCTCTCCAGTACCTCCCCACACACAGCTGCTCTGGCCTCCCCTGGGCCCAGGCCTGTGCACTGTCCCCCTCCGGGGTCTTACTCTGTGTGTACTCTTAGCAGTTCCCTCCRCAGGCAGAAGTCCCAGTTAGGAGAGGGGAGAGGACAGGGGGACGTGGAGAGTGCAGATCCTCATCAGGGAGCTGGAGACACTCTACAGCTATGGCTCCTGGGAGCAGGGCGCCTGGGCCTGAGGAGGCGGGTGGGAGGTCCAGAGGCCTTGCCYAGCTGAGAGCCTGGCCCGGCCACCTCAGTGTCCTTCCCTCTGCAGTTGCAAGTTTTAGGGCTGCCTGGTCTGCACCCAGGGAAATGCCCAGAGGGGGTTTCTGTTATGTTGGGGTCTCGGCCCCTGCCCCAAAGTCTGCGTAGGGATAGCAGCTGAGAGGTAAGGGCACAAAGGAGACMTAGGGAAAGGTGACGGGAGGCAGGGTGGCTCTTTCTGGGGACGCTGGCCACGGTGGGGTGCTCGCTCCCCCCCACTGCTGACCCCTCTTGTYCCGCAGTGTCATCATGACGGGGGCTTACAACAACTTCTTCCGCATGTTTGACCGCAACACCAAGCGGGACGTGACCCTAGAGGCCTCGAGGGAGAGCAGCAAGCCCAGGGCCGTGCTCAAGCCACGGCGCGTGTGTGTGGGTGGCAAGCGGCGGCGGGACGACATCAGCGTGGACAGCCTGGACTTCACCAAGAAGATCCTGCACACGGCCTGGCACCCAGCCGAGAACATCATTGCCATCGCGGCCACCAACAATCTCTACATCTTCCAGGACAAGGTCAACTCCGACATGCACTAGCATGCAAGGCCCTGGCTGTCCCAGCCYGACTCTTGCAGATTGTCCCCGACCTTCAGCAGCAGTGCAGGAGGAAGGTCAACTCCAGAGGTGGCCATGGGGGACACGGGTGACTTGGGCCTAGTTTCCCTAGACTAGTGTCATGACGATGACCATTTAAGAGAAGAAAGGACTCAGGGCCACAGGTGGTAACATGGGCGTGACTGCCAAGTCTCAGTTCAGGGTCCCTTCATTCAGGAAGCTTCCTGCCTCGGCCTGCGGTCTTTCCACATTTTTAGGACTTTTCATGTGTCTGGGTTAATTTTTCATGCCCGCAGGTCCTTCCAGGAGGAGCAGGAGCTGGTCCCTGATCTGGCTCTGGGGACATCAGGCTCTTTGGACTGTGAATGGAGCAGCTTGCCCATCTCAGACGGTCCCACCTGGGTCTCTCAGGTGGCGAATTCCTGCTGAGACTTTGCAGATGCAGGCTCTGGCCCTGGTCTCTGAATGGTCGTTAGCCCAGGCCAGCTGGTCCGGTTTCCTGAGACGAAGCGTGGGCCTGGCACCCTCTCCTCATCATCTGGCTCTGCCCAGCAGAGCGGCTGTTGCTTCTGGGAGTGGCACAAGCCGGAGGTGCACCTGGCCTGAGCTGCGGCACCTCCACCTCTTCCCTCCACACTCACGGACGTTTTTCCTGAACAGACACTGGCTGCAGCCTGTGGACTGTATTATTCCTCTCTCTCGACCACGAGGTGGGTGTCTGTTCACTTCCTCCACAAGCAGAACTGCTCCCGAGTGCCCTGCTGCAAGGGGCTGTGGGTAGGGATAAAGGTGAGCAGTACMGTCCTCTTTTGTACATGGGGACACCGAGGCTCTGTGCAGACAGGCAAGTTGCCCAAGGCAGGAACCCACCAAGTGGCAGGGTCAGGGATCCCTCTGGGTCTTCTCACAGGCTCTTTATGGGCCATCAWTCTGATGGAAGGTTCTGGAAGGGGACACCTCTCCATCTTATGAAGAGGAGAGTAGGCATCTGTGTGACAGGGAAGATGGAGAAGCTGGTGGCTGCTCTCTCTGGGTGGCGAGGTTGTGAGCTGTTCTTGAACTCTGGGCTCCACCTGGGATGTACCTGCTCCTCCTCCCAAAGACAGGACCATGCATGTCGTGACCATTAGGGTATTTTCTTTGAGGATCACACACAGTCCCAGAGGGCACTCAGAGGATGTAAACCCTGCTCTGCCAAGACCAGAGCCCTGACCTGCAGTGTCCTCCCATGGAATTCGGCAGGACCACGTGGCTGGGCATCTCCATTGAGAAAGCWGGGAGCAGCGGGAGCCGGCCGAACCCAGCTGCATCCCTTATGACTTGGACTACAACCCAGGAAACAGACTCCGCTGAGGTCTCAGTGCATTACGGAAAGCTTGTGTGTGTGTGAAAGCACAAAACGCATGTCCTCTCACTTCCAGCCATGTTATTCACACACAGAAATGGGTCCATTGGTCTTTTTCTTTTTTTTTTAACAATGTGAATGAAGAATGTTTGTTTATATGTCACTACAAAATCCAGGCAGCCTGGACAGTATTATATGTACATATTTATCCTAATTCAGTTTAACAATCAAAGGATCAGGTGACCTTCCTGCCCTGTGAAGAGGTTCGAGAATGTGGTGAGTGTATAGTGATCCGTGGAYGCCGAAGCCCAGCACTCAGCTCGGGGACCTTGGCCTCCTTCCTTGARGCCTGCCTTTGAAGCTAGCAGTCACTGTCCAGCCACAGGGTTAACATTGACCTGATCTTCATCTTCAAAGGGGGTTCTTAAGTGCAGTTCCTCTGTCCTTACTTCTTCAGTTTTAAACTTTGGGTACCAAACCAAAAAGAAGAGAAAGACAGAAAAAGGTCTTCTTGGAAGAAAAGTCTGTCTTTGTGTCCCTGSAAGATGCCCCTGCCTGAAGCAGACTGTGGCTCACAGAGCAGAGGGTGTGCAAGAGGCGGCGAGGGGGGGGCAGGCGCGGGAAGGGGCACCCTCCTGTTTAAACACCCTGGTCTCCTTGAATGTCTGGGCGTCACACGGTCACTGTGGCCTTGTCGGGCGTTTTGATCTTCTCCTCATCTGACTGCTCTCTGGGGGGGAGGCCCTGGCGTGGCGTGGGTAGTGGCGTGGGTGGTGCTGGTGGCGTGGGCCTGGTCATTTTGGACTCTGTGACGCATAGGTGCATTCTTTTTTTCTTCGATGTCTCACAAATTATCCAACTGTTGAATAAAATTATAAATATGTTAATACCAGCTTTTTCCAATAAAATAACAAATGTTACATCTAACACGAGGCCCAGAATGCCGTGTGTGCTTAGGCGGCAGTGGTGGGGTTACTCCTGGGCCTCTTGGGGCCCGGTGCCCAGCAAGGCTTTGCCGCCCCAGGGCCTCCTGCTGCCCCCGAGCTCTGATCCTGGAGCCATCGCTGAGGAGCTGGCAGAGTGCCTACTTTGTGGGTCTGGCGTGCRGATGGCCGGCAGGAGGACTTGGACAGTGTGGCACGTCGCACTCGACGAACGATAGTGTCTTGTTCTGTTTGGAARCAGGTGTGCATAGCCCGTGTATTTCCAAACCCTCCTGTGCTCTCCACAGGACTGTACCGACGAAGAAACTGAGGTTCAGCAAGGCCGAGGACTTGCTGCAGATCACAGCTTGTCACACAAGGGYACATCCCACTTGGGCTGCTGGCCAGCTCCGCCTCCAGTGCTCCCCAGCAGCAGTATACGCATGGGCTTCTGGGTCCCCGGGCATGGCCAGCTGGTTGGAGAGAGGCCACAGGGGCCTTCACTCAGGAAGCCAGAGGCCCAGCCTCATCTCTTTTGATTGCTGGTAGACAGGAGCACATGTGGGGACCTGCTGTGCATCTGTCACCCCAGCCTAGGCCTCACCTGCACTTTCTAGAAGGTGTCATATCCAGACCTAGCAGGACAAGGACAGGAGCCCTCTGTGGGTTTGCTGGCAGCATCTACCTTGGATAAGCTCCCCCTTGACCACACAGCCCCCAGGACAGCATGAGGGAGAAGGTCACTTCCCGGCTGGGGGGCAGTGGCTAACCTCTCTGATCCACACATGTAAACAGAGGGCACAACACCTTCTCAGCAGCTGGACGACTAAGGAGACGTTAGTTCCCTCACTGGCCCTGGTTCCACGGGGCTGGGTGTGACTCAGCCCATACATGAGAGCATTATCCCTTGTGCAGACCCCTGTGCAGGGYGTGGTGGCAGTACTATGGTTATGCCCATTTCACATATGGAGAGACCGAGGCCTAGGGGGATTAAATAGTTTATGCCTAAGCTCATAGAACTGTAAGTGGTGGGATCGGGGTTAAACCAGGATGGCAAAAGCATGGGCACACGGTGGAAGCTGGGCATGATGACATGTCATGTCCTCAGCCCCACCAAAGCCACCCTTAGCCAACAGTGAGGGAGCGTCCGCTCTGGCCCCCTGAGAAGCACCGAGGCTCCAAGGTGGAGTTGGAGAGCTAGGTTACCCAGGTGAGCCATCTCCTCACCCTTGACACTGGAGACTCACGCTRGTGGGCGGGGAGGGGAGGTAACAAAGGAGAAGGGGCGGGGCAGTGTGACGTGGCAGCACCACCRTGGCTCTGAAGATGGGGGCGGGCAGGGACCTCGGCAGCCTCTGGAAGCGGGAAGAGGCRGGTGTGGACTCTGAGCCTGCAGGAGACCAGCCCACTTGGCATTAGCCCAGGGAGGCCCACATGGCACCTCTGACCTCCCGACTGTACAACAATAAATGTGTGCTCTGTTAAGCCACTGAGCTTGTGGTCATTTGTCACAACACCCTAGGGATCCWTACACCTAGGTGCCTTACCACCCCGTGCACCCCGCCACCCCCGTTCACAGCTGCAGATCTCGGGAGGCCAAGGCCGTGCAGAGGTCATCAGCACGCAGGGACACCTGAAAGGGAAAGTGCTGAAATGGATGTTCCCGCCACCGTCCCAGCCCTTGCTCCCAGAGCTAACCTGCCCTTTACCCCCCATGAACCTCCTGAGCTGAGCCGGAGCCCCGTCTCCTCCTGGCCCCTCAGCCCTGCCTCCCACCCCCCATCACAGCCCCCTGTTCCCTGTGGGGGGCCTCAGGGGACCATGCTTCTCTCTCCACTGTGTCCAGTGCCTGGCCCAGGCCTGGTGCTGCAGGTCCTTGAGGACCAGCTGCCCAGCAGAGCCTATTTGGAGGAGTGGCCCCTGTGGGAGGCTCAGGTTTCACACACCCTTTTACCACCAGCCACTCCCGAGGACCAGCAAAATGGCAGTAAGGGATAAAACGCAGGAGCCACAGGGCAGAGAACAGAGGGGGGACAGCCTTGAGGCTTCTAAAGCAAGCAGCAGGGAATGGCTTGGAGACAGAAAGCCAGCCATGGTCAGCCATCAGGACGCCATCTGAAGACTGGCCAGGAAGTGCACCTGTGGGGACACCTCCACCACTTGTGGCCTCAGCAGCTGCTGTGAGGGCTTTGTGCAGTCAGCCAAGGAGGCAGCTGCTATGCAAGAGAGGAGGGAAAACACCCCAAGCCAAGGAACCTTCAGGTGCATGTAGTAACAAAGACGTTCTTGAAAATATGCTGTAATAGCCAGGCTCAGTGGTCACATCTGTGATCCCAGTGACCGGAGGCAGAGGCAGGARGGTTGCACGTTSAAGGCCAGCCTGGGCAACTTCAGGACACTCTATCTCAAAATGAAAAATCTTTTAAAATCTAATTTTAAGACCATGGTGTGCCAGGAATGTAGTTCAGTGGTCCAGCGCCCCTGRGTTCAACCCCAGGAGCACACGTGTGCACACACACACACACACAAACTGCACCGAGAAGATATGTAGGCCACACAGACAGGAAACGKCAAAGAACATAAGCCATGAAATTAGAAGTGTCATTGCAGAAACAAAGATTTCCACAGAGGTTGGAAGGGAGAGTTGAGACAATTTCTCAGGAAGTAGAATTTTAAAAGTCAAAGAGAGTCTCAGAGAAAAATAATCTCTCTGAGGTCTCAACATACCAAGAGGAGGGGCTCAGGGAGGCGAGGAGAAAAGAGGGGAAGGGAAATGATTAGAGAAAAGTTTTCTAGACCTGAAAAATCAAAATTCCCACCTTAAAGAAACCATGGTGTCCAGCACACTGGATGAGGTAGTACATATGTCAAGGCCATTGCTATCAACTCTCAACACTAGGGACAAGGACAATGAGGAGGGACAGTGTGAAGGATGCCTGAAGAGTCGGACTGTCCTGGGCTGCCCCAGAGCAGGAGGAGAAGTCGTGAACATTCTCACCCAGAACCCGTCAGACTCACTCTGTGGGTGAGCTGGGGGCACAGCTGAAGCTGCACGTTCTAGAACAGCCTCACCTGCACATGTGGCAGTTGGCTTGAGGTCAGATGTGGCAACCTGACTGCCATCAACATTTGCCATTGTGCCATTGGCCACAACAGCTCGCAAGGCCAAGACCAGCATCCGTGTGAGAGGAGATTGCCCAGGGCTTGGGTCCATGTGGGTTTAAAAACTCCTCCCACTGGGTAAACGCCCTTCTCTAGAAGGGCTGTGACCACTGTGCTGGTACAGGGGACCCTGCTATCTTCCTCCCTATGCAAAGGGACATGTTCCAGACATGCCCGACATGGGGGCCTGAAGAATTAGAGAGAGAATGAATGGTTGCATGAATCCATGAGTCAATGTATAAATGATCAAAAGAATAAATGGAAGAATTGTGAAGAGTGATCGTGTGGACGAGAGCGTGATGGCTCATTTCCCACCAACTCACAATAACCCTGCAAAGCAGCTCTCTGTGATCCTGGTTTCACAGAGAAGCCAACTGAGGCCTAGGAAGCTAGGAAGCATGTGGGAGGCCCATGGATACGATAAGGACAGCGGCAGTGGTGCCTGGTGAAGGGAGGCAATGAGGCTCAGGAGCCTGACAAACCTTCCAAAGTCAGTGACCAGAGGCTGGGAGAGCAAAGATTAGATGGTGTATTACTCCATCTGCTGCTGCTCTAATGGAAGGCCTGAGGCTGGGTACTTTATAGAGTATGGAAGTTCATTTGGCTCACAGTTTTGGAGGCTGAAAGTCTGAGATCTATGGCTGCATCAGTTTGACCTCTGGTAAGGGCACCCTTTAGCCATGTCACAACATAATAGAGGAACAGCAAGGGAACCAGACACAGGCAGAAGGGGCCCAGCATGTGGGCCAATCTTGTTTTAAAACAACCCATTCTTGCACAAACTAATTCACTCTGAATACTATGGGTCCTGGCTCAGGGTCTCCTGGGAGTTTGCCACCTAGCCATTGGCCACGCCGCCATCTCTGAAGAAGAGCCAGCTGGGAGTGGCAACTTTGTTCCAGCTCTCTGGGATAGCTGTTGGCCAAGGCCTCAAGCCCTGGACACATGGGCTCCTCCATGGAGCCACTCAATGCAGTGGATTCACCTGGAGCCACTGATCTGAGATAGGGCCACATGGTTGCATGAATCCATGAGTCAATGATCTGAGATAGGGCCACAGTCTCATTATAAAACAACCTCAGAAGTGACAACTCATCCCCTCTCCACTTTCTGCTGGTCACAAGGACTGCTGTGCTGGGGGAGGTGTGGGGACACCACAGGAGTGTCAGGCAAGCAGCTGAACTTCTCTGCAAACCCTGTATGCCCCAGCTTCCCGGGGACAAGCCAGGGATAATATCAACCTTGGGAGCTAAGTGAGCCTGGAGCCGATGCAGCAAAAGCAGTTTCTAGTGTTGTGGGGAGCCAGCTGGCTGTCCCCTCTGGTGGCCCTAACACTCTCCCTGGTGGGGCTGAGCTTTTGGGTCTCTGCAAGCTCCTGAAGAAGTCAGGAGCGAAGGACCTGGCCACCTCACTGCTGGCCCTCCAGGGACAGGGCCCTGTGTCTCAGCCCCAGGGGCACTTTCGAAATCCCAGTACCCAGGCCCCTGGCTCCTCTGGGGGCTCTGAACGCTGCCCAGGAGGCCCTCTGCCTACAGAGACAGGGTGTTCTGTGAATTCAACAGGAGGAAGGGGCTCTGACACGGGAAAGCCAGCCGTCTAGAGAGTTTGGTCAGGTGACTGTCACTTCTGGACAGGGAGGTGAGGGAGCAGAAGGCAAACTGCTTTTCAAAGTTAGGCTGCAACCAACCACTGGATGAACCTCTGTAACAAAGGGCTGCCAGCCTCCCAGGGTSGTTTCCTAGCAACACAGAAGCTTTTAGAGCCTGAAATAATTGCTTATGTGGGGAGCGATTCTTCAAACTGAGGTCCTTTAAAAAAAAACAAAGCCCCATTATCTTTACCTGGATGCTGTTAGAATTAGGCAGGAGGCCCACACAGTCAGATGACAGGGTGAGTTTCAGAGAGGGATTAAAAGTCCACAAAAGGCAGCGATATTAGGAGGAAAAAGTAAAAATGAAAAATGTAAGAATTCCATTATTAGCTCTATATCCCCCCAAAAATCCTGAAATGCAAAATAGATGTGGATGTTTGGAGAAGTGGATTATTCATGTGTTACTTGCAGAGCCTCTGAAAGGTGCAAATGGGTGTGCCCTTTGAGAGTCAGTTTTCCTTCAGGAAGATCAGCACTTGTCTTCCAATGTGGCTCACCAGCCATTTGTTCATTCAGTGCGTTTTCTTTTTTTTTTTTTTTTAGAGAATTTTAATATTTATTTTTTAGTTTTCGGTGGACACAACATCTTTGTATGTGGTGCTGAGGATTGAACCTGGGTCGCACACATGCCAGGCGAGCGTGCTACTGCTTGAGCCACATCCCCAGCCCTCAGTACGTTTTCTGAGCACCTACTTTGTGAGCGGCGATGAAGCTCTGGACACCTGGATTTCTGGGCTTTGATGCCAGCTGTGGATTTTGGGGTGTCTCGCTGTGCCAGCTGTGCCTCGCTGTTCTCACCTCCCTCACATCGTGACTGACTGAGTGGAGTCTTGCTCAGCGGCAGCTGGGTCCCAGCCATCCATAGGGGAATGTGGACAGTCTGTGCCCTGCTGGGACCTGGAGGCCAGTTGGGGGCAGTCACTGCAGTCTGCAGGAGGCGGGGCTGGAGCATGGGGCCTGAGGCAGCCCAACAGCAGCCTGGAAAGGGACTGCGAAACGAGAAGCGCTGAACTGCCCCACCATTTCCTGGGACCCTGTTTGCCAAGCTGTTTCCTCCGTCCCAGCTCCTGCAGGCAAGCGTCGCGCTGGGGATGGAAGGCAGTGCTGCTTCCCAAAGCCGGGCACCAGCGCTCACYGCTCCATCGAGCTTCCCCCAGGGATTGTCTCCAGAACCGAGGGCCATGGCCTGCCAGGCCTGCTGGGAAGGCATATGGGGGTGTTCTCTTCCCCTGCAAATGGGGCCTCACAGGACTTCCAGGCACAGCCCCCCAGAGCTCAGCCCTGAACTACAAGGACCCAGAAAGCCAGGTGGGGCTCCTTTGGGACAAAGGCCAAATCCCTTGTCACCTCCCAGCCACATGGAGTTCTCCTGTCCAGCCTCGGGTCACGCCATGTTGGGGCCTTGCATAGTGGATACTCACCCTATTGGCCTCTCCGCTTCCTCTCCTTGCTTTTCCTGCCCCCTTCAACCTCAGGCTGGAAGGCCACTCTCTGGATCCCCATAGCACTTCCTATTGGGCACTTGGACCATCTGCCCCCTACACCCTGTGGGCTATGAATTTTGAGGCAGGGACGGGGTTTGGCTCAACTGGGGAGTCACAGTGCCACCTCAGTGTCACATAGCAGTACATACTGATCCAGCACAGTAATGGCCTTCAGAACAATTGGTAAGGTAGAGGAACATTCTAGATAGGAAGTCACGCTACAGAATACACTTCTGACTGTGCAGTTACTTGTGCAGACAGAACATTAGGAGATGCTACACCCTTTGTTTGAATTCAGCCCCTCTGATCAGTTCCAATCTAAACAGTTATTTTCACTAAGTTTTAAGTTCTACCAAAGTTAGCAAGAACTTCACAATTCTCCTGATGAGAGCTGGTCTAAAGGTCAGGTTCTTAGTTTTTAAGTTTCATGAATGTTTAACCTTTAAAAAAAATTACCAAATATTTATGGAGCATTTACTAACGACATTTCAACCGACTCATCAGGAATCTCATTCCCCTCAAAACAGCCAGGGAGGCAGAGGAGGAAGTGGGCCCAGGCAGCCTGGGCTTGCCCAGGGTCATGCAGTTGGGAGGGCCTAGGAGTGGGATCAGCACCCGTAGCCACACTGCTACTCTGGGCTGTGCCTGCTGCTCCTGAAATGCTGGGTGCCCCTCCCACTCTGCAGGAGCGCTGCATGACATTCAGGTCATTTAAAAGGGGGTCATTGAGCCAGGGAACCTGTAATCCCAGGGGTTCGGAGACTGAGGAAGAAGGATTATGAGTTCAAGGCCAGCCTCAGCAATTTGGCAAGATTTTACCTCTAAATAAAAAAGGGCCAGGGATGTGGCTCAGGGGTTAGGTGCCCCTGGGTTCAACCCCAGAACCAAAAAACAAATAAAAGGTGAGGGGATCATTGCTAAGAAGCTGTGAAAACCACTGATCCAGACTTCCTGTTTCACAGGTCGAGGCACAGAGGCCTGGGGACAGTGCCTCTGAAGGGCTTCCGGTCACTCAGGACTTCATGGTAAATGAGAGGGAGAACACGGGATCAGGGCCCAATGTGGACACTCACCACAAGTCACATAAGCCCTCCTCCAAGCTGGCAGCTCTGCTGATTAGCTAGAAGCTAACCGTGGGGGTGCCAGGAGCAGCAAGGTGGGCCAGGGGCCAGGGCAGGTGCATCTTGGTCCTATCCTGGTTCCACTGCTAATGTGTGCCGGGACCTCCTCTCTGAACCTCAGTGGCCTGCTGCGGCTGTCACAGTACTTCTATCAGTGGGGCTGTGAAGACGAAGGGAGACCATCTGTGTTGGCTCTGGGAGTGCCCAGTGACTTCCCCCGCTGGACAGTCAATGGTACATCTGGGGGGCAGCATCGCATCGTGAATGCATCTCTTGGCAGCACGATTGGCGGGATGGGGAGAGGGAGTGGGCTGCCCTTGAACCTCATCCTACTTTCCAGGGAAGAACTAGGAGCAAACACACCCGAGCCGTGGCTGCTCTCAAGCATGCCCTAAATGCATGGGGTCCTAAATAGAGCCTATGGGCAGGAGGGACAGAGCTACACCCAGACCAGTGTCATGGGCAGTGCTGGATGACAATGCAGCAGCCACGTCCCAAACCCCGAAGGCAGCCCACGGAGGGTGTGTGAATCAACTCCATGTTCCCCAACCACAGCGGGAGAAGCCTACCTACAAGGAGCAGGAGGGGGTGCTAGACATGCCCTCATCCTCAAGAGGGAAACCAGGACCCAAGGGACCCAGGCTCATCCCAGGTGGGGTCCCCCACTGGTCCAGCACCTAGGAATGACTTAAATTCTGATTATAATCCTATGAATTGCCATGGTACCTGACTGAGCCCAGGAACTTTTACCAACAGACACACTACCCTGGTGGGGTGTGCTGTCATCATGAATTTCCATGGATGCTGTTTCATTAAGAATTTGAGTTTCAAAGCAACTGTGACCACTTTTCACCTAAAGATCCATCAGCAGCTGGCATTCCATGCTTGTGGGCACTGGGCATCCCTGCTGTCCCCCACCAGAGGGTTATGGCAGAGACCCTAAGGCCCTGCATACTTGGGATGGCTGCAAGGTCTGCTCCTGGGCAGGGGATCAGACACGTGAAGGTCAGTTCTGCCTTCCAAACCCCAAGTGTGCATTTCATTCCACACGGTGTGGATGCTGGCTGATGCTCACACACAGCAGAAGTCACAGGCAAAGGAGAGAGGAGTGCAGATTTCACCAAAGCTCTTTATTTCGGCTGTGGGAGGACTCTGAGCCGCTCTACAGTACTGAACGCGGCCAACCTTCCTGAGCAGTGGGGATGCCCAGGGTGCTCCTTATTTCCAAGTCCTGGTAGATTCAGGCAATCCGGCACAAACGTATCCACGACCTGCTGGACAGTAAAGCCACGAGGCAGGGTGTGGTGCCCAGAGCTCAGTGTGGCACGCCCTGCCCATGGCTGCCTCACCCAGCTCAGAGCGCAGGACTCAGCCAGGCCTTGATCACATGCTGGGATGCAGGCAGCGGTGCAGCCCCAGAGAGGCGAACAGCCATCAGGGCTTAGCAATAACCAAATAAATAAGAAATGCTATCATGGAGTACACAAACGCGCAATGGTTCTTTAAAAAACAAACCCAACACAAAAGTAAGCCAGGGCCAACAGGGTATACCGACGTGGGGGAGGGGGAGAATACCACCTGTAAAGTGCTTTGTGAGACACGGGGCCTTTCTGGTCTAGCCTGGCACCCCAGCTTCACTGGGAAAGGCCAGGACTGTGGGCAAAGACAGCATGCGATTCCAGCAGTGCTCGGCCTCCAAGGTGGACAGAGCTAGGGAGCAGCCACCCTCACCCCTGGGCAGTCTACACACGAGCCAAAGGTCCTCGAAGCCCTGAGCACACACCAAAGGTCCTCGGCACACGGGAGCACACGCACACGCGGCACGGGGCTGCGCCATCTGGCTGGGCAGTGCTCGGGAGGCCTCACAGCAACATGCACTGGTGCCTCTGCGGCGGCTGCTCATGCGGCTGACAGGAACGGGAAGAAGAAGAAATCGAAGGCAAACTTCAGGGCACCGTGCACGGTGCTGCGCCAGTCGTGCTCGATCTTCACGTGCCGCCTGGCGGGCGAGAGCTGGGCCATGCAGTTGAGGCAGCTGATGGCCTTGAGCTCGAAGACAGGCCACTTGCTGCCCAGGCGGCCCTCAAGGATGGTGCTGAACTCGATGAGGCTGCCCTGGCGCAGGTTGAGCAGCACGCTCTTGAACTCGCTGCTGGCCCGCAGCACGATGTCCTTGGTGATGTCGTCCTCCTCGTGGCTGCGGGTGCTGTTGGTGCTGCTGCTGAACGGCATGCCCACCGTGATCTCGAACTTGTACCGGTCGAACTTCTTGATGTGGCAGGGGTGCTTGGCCAGGTGCTTGAGGCGGCAGAGCTCCTCCTCGGCAGTGGAGGTGTTGCCGGGGCTGCAGGACGGGTAGGCCTCGCCGTAGAGGCAGCGCATCCAGTCGCCAATGAAGTGTGGGAACATGTTGATGGCCGACTCGGCACTGTTATCGATCTCCGTCACTCGGACGTACTTGAAGCGGCCTGTCCACGTGACCCTGTGGCCCTCCAGGTGGCTGCACAGGATCTGGGTGCGTGCCATGTTGGTCTCCTTCCAGGCCCGGGGCCCACACAGGAAGCCGTACTGCTGCCAGGTCAGCGTGGAGTTGTAGACCTTCATGCCCTCCGAGCGGTACACGTAGAACCAGCAGAAGAGCACGATGGCCGTGAGCCACACCAGGATGAGCTTGACTATGGAGCTCCGCGTCAGGGACTTGACCATCTCCACCACAGAGAAGCTGGCCTTGGTCCACCAGCGGAACAGCAGGGGCACGCTGCAGATTGCCATGGTGACCAGGATCTTGGTGAGCTCCAGGGACACAAACCACCGGGCAAACTGCACCACGCCCATGAGGGCCAGGCCGGCCACCAGGATGGGGAGAGCAAAGAGAAAGAGGAAGTAACCAATGGAGGCGCGGACCAGGCCCAGGCCAGTGGACTCCAGCAGGATGGCCACAGAGAGCTCACACCACATGAAGCAGACCAAGTAGGGCACCAAGTAGCAGTAGGTGCCCTTGAAGTTCCTCAGCTGGGCCATGCGGAAGAAGAGGTAGAAGAGGTAGACATAGAGCAGGCAGGGTAGGCTGACGTTCAGGACAACAAAGTGGCCGATAGGCACAGTCAAGAAGGTCTGCCCCAGTACCTTAAGGTAGCGCCCATCCACGGGCATGGTGGGCAGAAGGGAGAGCAGCCCAGCAGCCACCTCAGTGACCAGGGCCCTCCTGGTGTAGGGCTTGGCGGAGCTGCTCAAGCTCATGTAGCTGGTCACTGTGAAGAAGGCGGCAATGACGGCCAGCTCCGAGCAGGGGATACAGTCCTTGCTGGCCAGTGGGAAGGAGAAGATGACAAAAACAACAGAGAGCAGGAAGTGGGCGTAGGGCTCCAGGTGGTTCCAGCCGAAGTTGATCTCGGCCTGCTCCACGTCCAGGTTGGGCTCGAAGCGTAGCAGCAGGTCAGTGAGGGTGCGGAAATTGTCCCAGGCCTTGCTGTCCTGGAATACCTTGAGGGTGCAAATGACCATGGACACAAAGGACAGGTAGAAGATGACCAGGGGGATGAAGAAGGCAAAGAAGTCGATGGTCAGGTTGCTGATGATGAAGAAGAAGATGAGGGCATTGATGTGGTGGGTGGGCACAATGGTGGACAGCCAGTGCATGCCTGCCTTGGAGGCCACGTCGATCAGGTACTCTTTGACCTCCATGATGGCATGTAARGGGTACTTCATCACCTGTGAGGAGAGGCTGCGTTGGCGTCACCTGAACAAGGACCCACTGCCCTCCCTCGCCTCACTCTGCACAGTGGGTAGCCTGCTCCACCATTTCCCTACCTCTGGCACCTTTTCCCAGCAGGTCCTCCCACCTGGGCACCCGCCTCCAGGTGAAAAAGTGCTCCCCACACCCTGCACCCCCCGTGACCTTCTCTCACCCCCCACAAGTCCTGGTCCTCCCTCTTCTGGGCCCTAGAGCCTTTCTCTACCCACCCCAGGCCTGGCTCCCCACCTTCTACCAGAGAGACAAAACTCAAGTGTGACTGTCTCCCTTGGGAGACCTCACGCACCTGGAGGAGGCCAACCAGCTCCCGTCCTTGCCCCAACACAGCCTCCTGCGTGAAGGGCCAACAGCCCTTGGCTGCCTGTTTGGGAATAGGTTTGCATCTCCCTCTGCCTCCACGGCAAGGGCGTCCCTCCCTGAGCCTCCGCTTCCCTGTCAGTCAAGGGGGACAGCAGCCATTACTAGAAAGACTCTGCTGGGCTCCACAGAGGTGGGAGCATGGCAGCCCTGGAGGGCGGCTGGGCAGCGTGGAGAGCACAGGTGAATGCGGGCAGTAAGGGCGCAGCTCTCTCTTAACTGAAGAGCCGATGCAGCTGCAGTGGGGCCAGGTGCAGCCCTGGGAACCAGCTGCCCACCACACACACATGCGCACACACACACACACACACCCCATACTGCTCACAGGAGACACACAGTCCATGGAGCCCCCCTCCTCACCTTGAATTCCCCTCCCCAGTCAGTATCTAGTGTAAAGGTTAGAAGCAACTCGTGGCTTTTATCACAAAAAAACCTGAAAACCCAAGCACACTCTGGAGGAAGGGCCATGGGAAGCAAGGCGGGGGCAGCCTCGGAAGCAGGGGGCGGTTCTGCCACCCAGAACAGCCTCGTGTGCCTACCACAGATCCCCTGGAGCGCCAGGCCTGGCCAGGGCATGGGGAAGAGGGGGAGGGTGGAGAGGACAGAGGAAGTGGTGGACAGTGCCCATCCTTACACAGCATGGTGTGCGGCACAGGGAAGGGTCCAGGGCCTGGGCCAACACCAGGGAGTGGATCCCTGGAGGGCCCAGTCCTGTGAGGGGCAGAGAGCAGCTGCTCACCATTAGCAACGGGCCAGGGAGCAGCACGGCCCCCACTCCCTGGGACAGGCTCCCCCATGGCCTCCCTGGAGGGTTCAGGAGGACTCCTGGTGAACGGAAGGAAGTGACCACATGCAGGTGGCCCTCATCTGCCATGAGCCTTGGCTGTTGATTCACAATGACCAGAACACCTGGAAGCCACAGTAGGCTGACTGCCAAGGTAGAGAGGGATGGAGCTCAAGAGGCCCATGTGCACACAACTACGTGCACCTGTGGAGGAAGAGCCTCGTTCTTCTGGTATCTTGGGACAGCACCTTGAGTGCTTTGTTTTGTTTTTATTCGTACTGGGGACTGAACCTAGAGGTGCTGTAGAGTCGTATTCCTGGTCTTCTCGATTTTGAGACAGGGTCTAAGTTGTGAGGCTGGCCTTTAATTTTTGATCCTCCTGCCTCAACCTCCCGAGTTGCTGGGATTACAGGTGTGGCCACTGTGCCTGGCTCCTCAGTATGTTTTATAACAAGCAAACAAGTGAATGAGCTGATTAACAGCTAGGGTTCCCCTGCTCCCTGGGCTACAAACCTTTCCTACGAACAAAGGGACACCCACCCTCTGGGAAGTGGTCATGGGGAGATCAGGCAGGGCACCAGCCTTGGGACGTATTTCTGACACACGGCAGAAAGCAAACCAGGATTTATGAAAGTGCACCTCCTCTAGGGTTTGCCTGGATGGAGCCCTCTGGCATTAGCCAGCAGCTGGCTAGAACCCAGAGCCATGCAGTCAGTGGGGTGCCAGCGGCTCTGCTCATCCTGTAGGCGGACCTTGCTGTCAGTAGGAGAATCTAAGGTGCCCTGGGCTGCTACGCCCCTCATCTCTATTGTGTGACTAGCCCAGGCAGCCTGAAGGACGTGGTCTAACAGTGCCCAAGGGGCTGGCGTTAAAGTACCTGAAGTCTAAGGCTCAGAACCACCCACTACTTTTCATGCTGAGGCGGTCTCATGACAGCCTGGTACAAAGACCTGTAAAAGACAATGAAGCTTCTAGAACCTGAGATCCTGAGGTGTCTAGCACCTGCCCCAGGAGCCTCTGTGATCAGGAATGCTCTCCTTTTTAAGATTCCAACCTCTGGTCCCCACAATTTCTGCCCAAGCCCTTTCTCTTGGGAATCCACCAAACTGTGGGACTAAAATTTTAGTGTCCTTTTCTATAGAGAATTTCTAAATAAATTAAAATAAACTCTACCTTGGGCTGGAGAACACATGAAATAATAATTCAAAAAACACCAGTGAGGAATCCAGTTCCAGGAAAGGAACATCAAGGGCCCTCTGTGCAGGAGCAATCGAGCAGCCCGTCWGCTGGCACAAGAACCGAGAAGGAGCATCACACCCAGGCCAGGCATGGGCAGAGCCCGCCGTTAGTAATGCAGGGCAGGTGAGTGCCTCCAGCCAGGTCTGTTCTCACCTGGAGAAAATGCTCACTTGTTGGGCTTTCTAATAATTTAATGTACAACATGTTAGGGTTTTAAAACATTATTGTTTACTTTGAAGAGGGCGACAACTTGCACCCCCAGCTCAAGAAGAGCTGCTTGGCCTCTGGAGCCAAGTTGTTTGTGGAAGGACATCAACTCACAAGGAGGTATCTGTCATTTTCCCGAGTGTGGATAACCGCTCCCAGAACAGCGCCCCTCAGTCCTCTGAAAGCCACTATAAGCTAGACAGCTCTGGAGCTGCGAGATGCCTGTCATGGTTCCTTACCTCTTTCCAAAGACTTTTTTTACCAAGACACACTGTTGGGGAGTCAAAAGGCTCTGACGGCCCCAAAGATGAAAGCAGACACAGACCTTGACTACTTCCTGTCACAACAAACAGAGCTTCCAACTGCTCAAAGCACTGGACTCATGGCCTGGAGCGAGTGACGCTCCACCTGCTGCCCCAACCAGGGCGGGCACTCTGGGCAGAGGATCACTGGCACCCACCCTGCATGTACAGCTGAGATGCTCTGGCCCTGGTCTTCTCCAACTTGCCCGTCACCTCTGACCTTCACTGGCATTTGGGGATGCCTCCTCTTTGCCAAGAACCATGTCAAGCACTCTAGATCCGTTCTCCCGTAAAAAAGTGAAGGCATCCTGTCTGTGACCCCCCAGGGCTCGGGGCAGGCTCCCTGGGTTGTGGCTATACCACCCTGTCTCAGACCGCAGTCTCTCCTGCCCTGCACACACCACCGGTCCTCAGTGGAAAGGGCAAGGCCTTTAATTCATCACCCCAGGGACCTGCCAGCCTTAGGTGCTCGTCAGGGACTCAGACCCAGATGTGGGCTGAGCACCCAGTCCCTGGTTATGCCACTGCCCTCTGGCTGTGGCCTCTCCTCTTCCTCTCTGCCTTCCCCTGCCCCTGCTCGACTTCCTCCACTCCCGGCTCCCGCATGCTGCCTGTTCACCTGACCACCTGCTGGCCTGCAGCGGAGCCACCTTATTGCTGCCCCCATCCTAACTCGGTCACCCCATTCTCACACAGCCATGGGTCCATCCATGTTCTCGGTCCATTATGAACACTCAGAAATGAAGAATGTTGGGTAACCCACACCCAGGGCTTCATGACACGTCCCCTGCTTGGAGGAACTGCCCCAGTGCTGCCCTGACAGCCCAACTCCTGGAAGTGCCTGCAGAGTGAGCTAAGGACACATCTAATTCAACCTTGTGGGCTGACCAGGGCAATTCCGTGAGAAGGCCATGGCCTCGGTGTGTCTGTAGTCCAAACCACCCACATGGACCAAACCCAAGGAGCTCTCAAGGCAGGGTGCAGGGCCGCATTTCTGATTTCTCTGCCTCCACCACACTCCTGTCGATTGTATTGCTCACTATCCTCAGGTGTGCCCCTATCCCCCACATAGGCGCTGGCCAACCCTCAGGATCCTTGAGCCCTGGAGGCCCAGCAAACAGGTCCATGGCCTGGCCTGCCAGACACTAGCACTCTGTGTCGAGGAACTGGCCTCTGGCCTGTGCTACAAATGGATAATCCATTTCTCTCTGTGGCAAGTCAAACAAAAAGTCCAGCTCCAACRCCTCTACCGGCTGTCCACACTGCACTGTGCGTAAAAATCCCCAGAGGGACCGCAGCACTGGTCACTCAGAACCTCCTTGGCTTCTGAGCCGGCTGCCTAAGGAGGCCTCCTTCTGAGGACACGTCTTTAGCAGACCCTGAGGACAACCCCAGAGACAAGTGGCATACCTCCAGGATGTCCCTCCCACTGCTTCCTGGAGGGTGACAGCTCACCTTCTGGCGCAGTGGCAGATCCTCGGGGCTCTTCCCAGCCAGCTCGTCGTCGTCATCATCCTGGAGGAAGAGGTTGCTGGGGATGATGCCCTTGGCGTACTTCTTGGTGATCTCCACGAAGTCGTCCAAGGCGATGTAGTTCTTGGCTGCAGCACAGAGGAAATAGCACAGGGGTTCCCCACTGTCAACCCACTGTGACTCTGACCTGGGCAGCTGAGGAAGGGCACAGTGGCTTGTGGCCCCGCTGGGACAAGAGTCGAGATGAGGTTCAAAGCCCTTCCCTGGGTGTGATTACGGATGAAGACCAGCCATATGGGGAGGAGCTGGTGGGCATGCYGCACTCCAACCTCCACCGCTGCCCCTGGCCCTGGTGACATGCCATTCTCCATGTGAGGTGACCAGCCCACCCAGCTCCTATTGCCTGGAGCCCGCCTGACCTCTGGGCCCAGCTCCACGGCTTTCAACAGCCTACATCTCCTGTGCCTCTGACTCCCTTTCTCTCCCTTGGATGCTCACCAGGGCTCTTACAACACTGTGACAAGTCCCCCAGCAGCCAGCCACCACCTCCGAGCCCCCATCCAACATGATCCACTGAGAGCCAACCGGTGACCTCCGTCCAGCACTTGTCTGCCAGGGTCCGTATGCACTGGGCATTCTTCTAAGTCCTGGGAAATACTAGGAAACCCAGCATGCCTGAGTCCAGGCTCCCAGTGGGGAAAACAGACACGAGACAAGGGCTGGGAGTCCCCCAGGGTGCGTCCATGTTAGAAGTTCTCCTCCAGGCTGCCCAGGGTGGTGTGCAGAGGAATTGACACAAGGGGGTCACAACTGTGAACACCTCTCCTCCCAAGTCCCTCTCAGGTGTGGGCTCCGCCTCAGCCCGCCTATTAGTGCTGAGCAGCCCTCTTGTTCCCCCGAGGAAGGAGAAATGGAAAAGAAATGGAAAAGAACAGGCAGGAAGGAGACACAGGAAGGAAAAGGAGACTGGGATTTCATCTGAAAGCCTTGCACTCAAGTTCCTCAGGCCTCTCCTCCCAGGTCAGTCTTTCCCCCAGGCCTGTCACTCCCAGATTTCTGAGAAACCTACAAATCTTAATTCACTCACTTATAAAAACTGCCCTGTGCAACGTACTACCATGTACATTTCTAGAATAAGCAAAAAGACGGTATCTTACAGGGTACTTTCCACACAGTATCCATARATCAGAAGTTTACTTCAACCTGAAGATCTCAAGAAGAGCTGGACCTGCATGCCACCCTGTGATCACCAGGACGACCACCCTACACACCTGCCCATGCCCACCCCTCATGGAGTCACCTTTAAAACAAGAGCCTGAGACCCCAGAGGTGCTTCTCACCTGAGAGCGAGCCACATTCTGAAAATGAACGTATCTTCACCTTTCTAACAAGCTCCTCCTCTTTGTAAAATCTGATGCATTCTTAAATTTTTTTTCTGCTTCGTGTCAAGAGCCTGCAATCTGAATAAAGGGCTGTTCTGCCTCCGGAGACCCCCTCAAATCTCTACAGTGACACCCCCATCTGTTTTCTCCAGGACAGCAGCCCCGGGGTCTCTAGACTGCAGAGTCCACTCCACATAGATGGAGCRATGGTCAGGCCAGGGAGCTGCATGCAGAGGATGTGAGGCTCTCTGATCCTGGAGAGCCAAAGGCACCCGCAGCTCAGCAGGTCCTCAGACCTCTCTCCCCTCCCTGTGCAAGCTCTGCCCCTCCCAGTGCCCAGCTGGGGCTGAGTTCTGCACACACCTGCAGATCCCCTTTTGGACCTACGCCCACTCTCTTCCCCCTGCCTGGAGCGCCTCCTCTTCTGTTCATGGCTGACCCCTCCTTACCCTTTCCAGCTCATGTAGGCACCGTGGGTGTGGGCTCCCACACCTTTGCCTGCCAGTCTTTCTCATATGGCAGGGGCTGTCATGTTGCAGGTATGTTTTGCTGGAGCTTGGACAGCCTGGTGGGCAGGGTCTAGATCCCAGTGTCCAGAGCACTAGCACCCAAACAGATAGGACCAAGAATCCACTCACATCCCCCAGAATCTTGATTGTGGCCCAGGCCTGGGATCCACCCGAAGGAGCAGATGCCATAGCTGAGAGGTAGGCGGGAAGCCCAGGTGCCACCCTGGTAGGTACAGGCTTTACTCACACTCACTGCTGACCAAGCGCTCGAGCATTCGCCTCTGCTTCTGCAAGGACCTGGGGACAGGGCCTGGCTGCGCTCCTCCATCTGCCAGAGACAAAGTGAACTGAGAATAAGGGCTGTCTGTCTCCTGCCCTGAAGCCCACCAAACAGAGGTCGTTAGTGAGCCGTGGGGACCCAGGGCTTGGGGCCTTCATGGCAGCCCGTGAGTCTTACAAGCACCACACTTCTGGCAGCCACCTCTGAGCTTCCCCATGAGGTGGACTCAGCACCTCCTACAATGTGACACAATCTCTCCCACCTGGGGACAAGGTCACTGCACCCTAGGCACACTACCCTCTTTGGTTGACACCACCTGATCTCAACCACTTTTGGCCAGCATCATATATTGGTTTGGTTTTCCCACTGAGTAGTGAGCTCCCCAGCAGTGAGGGCAAGTTGTCTGTCACCTCTGTATACTGGCCCAGACATAAGGAGGAGCTCAGCACAAATTTGATTAATGAGCAAACACCCAAGCCAGGATTTACGCTGTCCTTCTGTGAGCATGCCGAACCTCCCTACTGCAGGCCCCAATCCCCATAAAACATGCCTGGCCCCAAGAGAGAAGGTCCCGGCCCCAGAGGAAGGCCCAGGCCCCAGAGGAAGGCCCAGGCCCCAGAGGAAGGCCCAGGTCCCAGGAAGGACCAGTACTGTGGTGGCCTGCCTACCATGCTCGTTGACCTGGCCCACATTCTCCAGTAGCTCCGACACAGCCACCTGCTTCTTCTTCTTGGGGTTGAGCTTCCAATACATGACCAGCGCAGCTTTGCGCACAGCCCTCTCCAGGTCAGTCTCGGAGGAAAGCTGCTTCACCTCTGGCTCGTTTTCGGAAGTGATGCCTGACAGACAGAGGCAACAGTAAGTCCTCCTCCCGCCCATCTGGGCCCATCAGTGCTGCTCTGAAAGGCCAGGGAAGGCAACGTGTGAAACAGCTGTCGGGCACCTTTGGCTGCCAGACACTGGCCATCTGAGGCAAGCACCCCCCGCACCAGCTCTCCTGGCTGGGGCCCAGCTGGTCTGGTGGCAGATGGCCAAGTGTCTCTGCGTGCAGGTGTATAAAGGCTTTCTGTCTTCCTGGCTCGCTCCCTGCCCCCATTATCCTCTGAGACCCTTCTGAGTGGGTGCTGGTCTAGAGCTGAGGCACACGGCAAGGTGCTGGCTTGCCCAGGGCCACAGGGTCCCAGGGAGACAGAACTGCCTCGAACCAGTTCAGTCTCCCTGCACCACTACCAGCTGGGCGCAATGGCAGGGCCATCACTGTGTCTACAGCGCTTCACAGGCACAGGCCCTTGAGGGCAGCCAAGGGAGCAGTATCTCCCACGTGGCAGCCCTTTTAGAGGGAGCAATGGTGAATAGGGTCCACTGCTTTGTCCTTCACCCATCACTACCTGGGACAGCAGCCACCTCTTCCTGGGGGAGGGGGAGGAACCAGACTTGGGAAGAATGACTTCTCCTTCTAAACACGCCCCAAATTTTACACACAAACAGGACGCCATAACAAATGGCCTCCTCTGGGTTCCCACTGCCCCGGTACCCCTCCCCACCCCAGCCGCCTCTGCCCACGTGCCCGCTCTTAGGAAGCATCAGTCCTCCTCCTTCTACTGTGAGTGTAACTGAGAAGGTCTTCCTGGGCCTATGGTCCCCAACTGTTCTCAGAGACTGGATGGAAACAGCCCAGGGGACCAGAAATTCTGCCCACAGGCCTCTGCTTTAACACGGTACAGCTGGCCCTGTGCAGCTGCCTCCAGGATCTATCTTCAGTTTGGATCAGAACCCAGAAGGGAAGATGGCCATAGTTAATTACTGCCAAAGGGCAGGGAAATGGCTTGGTCTGTTAAATCTCCCATCATGCCCCACAGTGTCTCAATCGACAAGGCTACTAGCCAAACACACTCCCCATTTCCCAGCAGTGTCACCAGCACTAGGTTTTCTGTGTACCATCTCAGCTGTCCATTTAGCGAGCAGCATTACAAACTGCTCGTCCTCAGGCAGCGGCTGGAGCTCCCTGCAGACTCACCTTTCCTGTCGGCCAGGCACCGGCGCAGCAGCTTCACTGCCTCCCTCCGGCCCTGTTTGGCGGCCAGGATCAGCCAGTCCACGGCTGTGCAGTTGTTAAGCTCTTCGTCCCCATCACTGGCCAGTCGCAGGTAGTGTTTTCCCACCTGCAAGTCAGACACCACTCAATCTTGCCTTTTGGGACCTCGCCTGCCCTTACTCCTGCAGCCCACCCCTCAGGTCCCCTCCCCATGTCACTCAGACCAAGAAGAAAGGTGGTGGGAATGGGTCCCACTGGGTGCCTGCACTAGACTAGACTCTTGCAGGTCCTGGGCCCTGGCTCCTGCCCAAAACACTGTGAGGCAGGCATAGAACCCTGGGCAGATGAAGGAGCCACAGCGCCTGCACTCTTTAGATCTTCCTCAAGCTGCTCCTGCCCACCAAGAGCCCAAGGAGGGAAACTCACAACAGTGACGGCCCACAGACCTCCTCTCAAAACAGGTGACCACATAAAACCAGGAGTGGAGAGAGGGCAGCCAGACAAGGGCTGAACTGGCCCACTGGCCAGATTTTTTTTTAATAAATTCTCTAGACAGAGTGACCACTCAGAGACGAGAGTGAGCAGCACAAACAGTAGGGGGGCTGTAGGAACGTGGAGGTGGGGAAGGCATGGTGGCTTTTCTGTGATCCTTGGTCAAACTGGGTGGGTATGACAGAACATGGAGCCCAAAATACCTACTATCTGGCTCTTTATGAAAAGAAAGATGCCGGCCGACCCAGTCGACCCTCATTCTCTGGACAAAGTGAGGCCCAGGGCAGACAGGGCCTCAAAAAGGGCCAGTATGTGATCCAACCCTGATCCAACCCTGGAATGTCCAGGCTACAGGCTATAGAAGAACTTCAGAGTGCAGAGGGACAGGGTGAGCCACTGCTCTGGACAGATCTCTGGGGCCTCTGGCAGCCCCGCTGCGAAGGATGTGGTGATCTCCCTACAGGGTGGGCCGGGCAAGGCTGGAGGGAGGCACCAGGCAGAGACCTGCTCACAGCTTGCTTCCTCACGCTCTCAGGCCCTCAGCTTCTCCACATTAATGACGGGAAGCTGGACTCTGGGACCCCCGCTCCAGATTTCCAGATACCAACAGGAGAAATAGCAAGAAGCGTGGGGACAACACCGCCCACACCGCACCAAGGACCAGGTGGGAGGTCTCGGAGCTGCTGACCTGGGCATGAACCATGGCGCTGTGCCTCCTGGCTCAGTGAACTTGGGCAAGTTACTAAAGCTCTTTCAGAGAGTGAATGATGATCCCCCTCTAAGGACATCATGAAGACAACCTGAGACGACCATGACCTGCTGAGGTCCCCCCCACCCCCGTGCACCTCCTTGTGTTTTGGTTCCTGACCCCACTAAGCCCTCTCTATCCTCAGGACCCCCGCTCCCTTCTCCTGTCTATGCCTTGGCAGAGATGGCACCTCCTCGGAGGACACCAGGAGCCTCTGCTATTTCCTCTATCAGGAGCATCTGTTTACTTTTTTGTCAGCTCCTTCCACTTTCCTGTCACTTCCATGAGGATAGGGTCCCCATCCATGTGGCACTGGGTCTCTGGCACCGGCACAAACCCAGCCCACGTCTATGGTCACTTCTCTGAGGGCTCTGTGCAGTACTCTGGTCAGGCACAGAGTGGTCACTCAGAGACGAGAGTGAGCAGCACAAACAGTGGGAGGGGCACGGATCAAGGAGCTGCAGGAATGTGGAGGTGGGGAAGGCATCTTAGAGGAGGGGAGGCCCAAGGCAAGGTGTGAGCCGGACCTGAGGGAAGACATGGGGGCCGGCCCAGCAGGGTGCTGGGGGGATGGCACTGTGGACGTGGATCCACCGAACATGGCTGGGGCACAACCGTGCTGGTTCCACATTCCTCTTCTGTGGGCTGCAGAGCTCTTGGCCAGGCCTGTCCTGATGGGGCTGGAAACTGAGTTCCCAAGGGGACAGTGTGGTCCTCACCTCTGTCTGTGCCTTAGGGTCCCCAGCCTTGGCCTTCTCCAGGACTTCCTCAAATGGGATTTCCATATCTCTCCTCATAGGTCCTTTAACAAAGGGAAAAAAGCAGAATGTCAAAAGCCAGACCTTGTCACTTGGCAGAGTGGAGGGGCAGCAGGAAGGGCCTTCAGAAGACGTGGTGCCGATACTTACTGTGAAATCCAGGCCAGGAGTAACAGAACCGCCGCAAAGACAGGACAGGGCCAGGGAGCGGCAGTCTGCCTCCCAGCTCTCCAAACAGCCCCAGAGCAGAGACTGCAGCATCTACCAAGCGCAGTGACTTCCGACAGCAGAAATGGGAGGCACAGGGACAGGCACAGTCCTGAGTCCCACTAATGTCCCCCTCAGCTCAGGCCTTCTCTTGCTGGAGCTCTAGAAAATCTAAGGGCTCCATTTGAAAGACACTGGCCTGGACAAAAAGAATGTGCAGGACTCAGCATGCCAACGATTGTCACCACAGACACCTGCCTTCTGGAGAGTACAGTCAGCGTACGGACATCTTGGCACAGATGCTTCCTGCTGATGAGTGTCTCAGTCTGTCGGGGCTATGATAGCTGCCACACACCGGGCGCCTTACAACAACAGAATTTATTACTCCCAGTTCTGGAGACTGGGAGTCCAAGATCAAGGTGCCAGCAGATGATGTCTGGCAAAGGCCCCTTTATAGTTCACAGATGGCCCCTTCTTGCTAGGGCCTTGCATGGGAGGGGTGAAGGAGTTCTGGGGTGGGGGTCTCTTTTATAAGGGCACTATTCCCATGTGTGTGTTCTCTACCCTCATGACCTCACCGGCCCCTGAAGGCCCACCTCCTAGCAGCACTGCACAGCAGGTCAGGAGGCCAGCATGTGACCTGTGGGGCACCACAGTGACTCACTCAATTTCCACACTGCGCCACAGTGAGTTCACCACCTCAGTGGCTCCTAATTCCCATGGGGTGAGGGGGCATGCTCAGGCTTGCCAGCCTTTCCACTCTCTCGGGCCTCGGGGTTCTTCCCTGTGGCCCCTTACTTTACAAAATGGTGCCACAGACCATCCTGTGTACCCTTTGTTTTCCGTGGGAAATGATTTTCCTAACAGCTTCTCCAATTGAATGACTCATCACAGGGCTCATGCTCTGTTCGTCTTCCTAAAAAGTTACCTACAAAAACATCATACAACTACATCAATTCCATTACAACCTTATCGACACTGGGTATCACAGCAATGAAGAGAGCTTTTAAAACTACTCATTTTTACCAGCTCCTTTCTTTGATTCAGGCAGACAATACTTAAGGGCTGACACTCAGTCCCACAGCTTGACTCCAACCCCTGCTCCGCTCCACCTTGGCAGAGACGAGACACCTGGCTCTGGCACCTGGGAAGCACGATGGGCGCTTGGCAGAAGGCTTTTGCCCTCTCACTGTTTCCAGAGACCACAGGCAGAAGTGAGGGACGTGACACCTGGTCCCTAGCCACAGCATACAGAGGGCCAGCTCCTCACCACTTCCTCTGCGGCTGTCCCAGCTCCAGTCTCTGTCAGCCCTGAGCTGGGCTCTGCTGCAGTGCCACTGGCCCCTGCCTCAGGGCACCCAGTGCTCCAGGGGAGGCAGTGGCAGTAAAATGGCCAAAGACGACACAAGCACAAGGTTCAAGGATGAGGGTCTGAGTGTCACACCCAGTTAGGAGAGAGTGCAGGGAGATGGAAGATGACCCCAAAGTGCAGACAGGGCGTCGATGTCCAGGATCTATGAAGAGCTCAGAACACTCACACGAAACACCAGATGACCGGTCAATAAAAAGGTGAAAAGACTGAACAGCCACTTCTCAAAGGAAGAAATACGAATCAACAATACATTACAACTATTCAACATCTCTAACAACAAGGGAAATGCAAATCAAAACTACTCTGAGACTCACCTCACTCCAGTCAGAACAGCAATGATCAAGAATACAGATAATAAATGTTGGCAAGAAAGTGGGGACAAGGTATGCCACACCTTTTGGTATTTAGGTAGGACTACAAATTAGTGCAATGGGAAAAGGAAGCACCCGGGTAGCAGGATGGAGAGTCCTTGAAAAACTAGGAAGAGGACCACCACATGATACAGCCATCCCTCTCCTGTGCACCCCAAAGATTTCTGATCGCATACTGCAGTGATGCAGCCATTTCATGTTTACAGTGGCCCAACTTGGAAAACTAAGCTGTGGAACAGACCTCAGTGCCGTCCACAGATGAGTGGACACACACTGGGGAGCCGTCGGGAAGAAGGAAATCACGGCATTTGTTGGTAAATGGATGGAACCCGGGGCTTTCATGGTAAGAAAAACAAGCCAGTCCCCAAAAAGTCAAAGGTTGAATGTTTTCTCTGGTATGTGAAAACTAATCCAAAATGAGGGGAAGGGCCACAAATAAAGAAATAGAGAAAGAGAAAAAAGAGAAAGTTTCATCAAAATAGAGGAAAGATCAGTAGAGCAGACAAGGCATTCAGAAGGAAGAAGGGATGGAAAAGGGAAGAGGATGAATCAACCTGAACACAGCAGGTGCACACAGCAGGTCCAGGGCCTCAGCATGGATGGTGTGAGGGCCCTGCTGATGGGGCAGTCTCTCAGGGAAGAGAAGATGACAGGGGCTGGAAAGAGGGTTCCTCACAGAACCAGAAGAGCCATGGCCACACTCTTTCCAACTGCCCACCTGCTCTCAGCCCCTGCAGCCCTGAACCTGCCCTGCTCCTATCCCTCCAGTCCTTGATGATGCTGTTCTTGGTACCCAAATCCTTGCCCACAGCCTCACCCCTGTTGTATGCCAACTCTTCCCCCTGCCTGGCGTCCAGCACAGAGAAGAAATAAAACAAAAGCTGCCGAGAGTGGAGACAGGGAGTATCTGCTACAACCACTAGGGGCTGTAGAACAAGACCCACCCAAGGTACAGCTGGTGACCCTAGGCCTGGCCCTCACCTGCTATGGATGTGTCCAGGGAGACCAGATGCAAAGAGAGAAGTCCCAGTGAGAACACATGGGCCTGTCACTGCAAGGCTCACTCACCCACACTGTCACCCCACTAAATACCCAGGACACTTCTGAACCAGGGACCCTGGCAAGATGGGGTCCTCCTCTGCAGACAGTGGATTTCAAACTGCAGATTTCACCCATGAGAAGGTCATGAGGTCAATTTAACTGCCCCAAAGCAGCATTTATTTTTAAATCACAGGAGCAAAGTAGAACATAGACCAGAACACATAGGAAGGGCGATACTGCTTTGGAAACTTGTTCCCAAGCATGTGAACGCATGTGTACATGTGCCACACTGCAACAGAACATGAATTCCTGCTATGGGAGCAGGCTGGAAAGTGCCAGAGGCAGGAGAGCCTTATTAAGCAGGTGGCATTGAACAGGTGAGATGGTGATACCATATCTGGGACAGAGGTTCCCACGTGGCCAAAGGGAAGGTAGGAAAGCATGGAGGCAGATTAGGGAAACCCAGAAAGGATACCCCAGCAGCTCTTAGACCTGAGGTTCTGAATAAGACTGCAGAGTTGGAAGCAAGCCCCACCTGAGTCACTGAACAGCCACAGCCAGCCTGGGCTGAAGACTGCTGGCCCTGGCCCTACCCCCTTACCAGCTCCACCCATTTCTTCTTGGCTCCTGGCACGAGGGGCCCGAGGCTCAGCTAGGGCAGCTGCTTCTCTGACGCTTGGGCCAGGGCCACCTTGTGGCCTGGGAGCTCGGGGCGCCTCGCTCCTCTCTTCTTCCACTGAGGCAGTGGCATTGAGCCGAGCGCGGGCTTGAGGCTGTGGTGCTGGTGGAGGCTGTGGGATGGAGGGGCTCAGAGGAGGGGTGCTGGAGTCCATCTTGCCTGCAAGAAAAGCAAAGGGTCAGACACACTAGGGCCCCCAACCCAGCTTGTGCCAGCTTTTCATTTTTCAAAAGAGAAGAAAGCAAAGAGATGGGTGGGAGCTGCCAAGCACCCTGTGATCTCGTTTAACCTCACAGCCCTGCAGGCAGCCCTGTGCTACAGCAACTCCCTAAGGGTGTCTAGGGCGACACACAGGGCAGCAATTYTGACCTCAGACCCTCGGTCTTAGGCTTTAAATCCCGAGTTCCCGCCTCACCAGGTCAAGCCACGAGACCTTGGGTGTTAGTGTCCTCATCTGAGAAAAGAGGATGGGAATGACAACATTCAGACATAATCCAGAGAAACACTGAGCACAGTGCTTGGCTGTGGGAGCTTCGTGTGATATAATTCAACATCTGTAAAAGTGAGCTGACTTGGAAAAATGGGTGTTTGCAGATGCTAATGAAGTTCAAGGTCTTGAAATGAAAGCCTCCTGGATTAGAGTGGCCCTAAATCAACACGGAGCCTTCTCACAGGAAAGAAACACAGACGTGCAGAGAGGTCATGAGAAGCAAGGGCCAGAGGCTACAGRGTGCAGCCACAAGAGAAGAGACCCAAGGCCTGAGGCTACCATCGGAGCTGGGGTGAAGTAGGGAACAAACCCTCAGAGTCTCCAGAAGGGACTACCACAGCCCATACCTTGACCTTAGATTTCTGTCTCCAGAATCGTTTATGATACTAGGGAATGAATGCAGAATGCTCTACTGTTAGATGACATCCCCAGCCCTTTTTATTTTTAATTTTTAATATTTTTATTTTTACAGTGCTAAGGATGGAACCTAGGACCTCACACATGCTAGGCAAGCACTTTACTATTGAGCACACCCCCTACTTCTTATTTTGAGAAAGATCTTGCTAAATTGGCCAGCTTCCTGCATCAGCCTCTCAAGCTACTGGGATCTGCAGGCATGTGCAGCCACACCTAGCCACCTCATTTCTGGTGATTGTTTATGGGGACTTTGGGAAATGAACACCTTGGTATAAAGTAAAAGTTAAATAAATTGAGGAGACTTAGGGAAAGATTGGTAGGATAGGGTGAGTGGGGATGGCACACACCTGGTGAATCCAGATTTTTCCAATCAGAACTGCCCAGATCCACAGCCTTCTAGACCAGGCCCTGATCACAGGACAAGAGTCACAGAACTTCAACGCCCCAGCTACTAACACTTATTAAAAAGCAAATGAATGCATAAGGGTGGTGGTGGCATATGAAGAGACTTCTAGAACAGACCAGAGAGCACAGAGAGCCCATGGCATATGTCATGATGGGGGAAGGGGTCAGTCAACAAAGGGCCACTGCATGCTGCTCAGCAACATGGAAAACGGTGTCAACACAATTCAGAGCAACTGCAAGTCACAGACCATGAGGCAGAAAGCTCTAGAGGATCCTTAATCTGGATGATCTTCAGGGACACAGACCCCTAAAATTGTCAGGCCCCATGCACACTGTGGGGCGTGGGAGATTTTTCCTTCAAACTTCCAAATGACCCTCCCCATGCACAAGGCTCCTCTCTTCATCACACATGAGGAAACTGAGGCACAGAGCAGGGGAGGCTGGTGATGAGGAAATCTGTTTCCCAATCCTCACCTGCCAAGGCCCCTTCCTTTTGGCTCTGGGCCCACCAAGCTGTGTGGTCCTGAGCAGCCCAAGTCCCTCTCTGTGCATCAGTATCCTCATCTGCTTGAGGATCCTACCCTGTCCTTGGGCTGATTGTGAGGACCAGTATGGCCACAGCTGCATGAGGGGCCAGGGTTCTGGCTCCCAGCCCTAAGTCAGTCCAAGTGGGTTGAGCTGGATGTCTCTAGACTAATCACTGGAAAACAGGAATGGCCGCAGGTTCCATCAGTTCCAGACCGTTCCGTTTTGTTCCATCCCCAGCTACCAAGGGGCCCTAAGGATCAGATTTGTGTTCAAAGAACAATGTAGATTTCAATCTGAATGCTCCTCCCTCAGAGGGACTGAGCCCTTATTTTAATTTAGTTTAGATTTTTTTTTTGAGCCCTATTAAAACATCCCCAGAACAATGTCTTTAAACAACAACAACAACAACAAAAAAAACATTGCCAATACTCATGAATTTGCTTGGAAATCAATGCAGGGCTTGCTGCTGTCTCCAAACTTTGAGCTTCTGGGAACTGGCCACTCCTGAAGACCTCATCATTTAACTGCATGTGCAGAACTAAGGGAGCGCAAGGCCTGCTGGAGTCAGAGAAAGCGAACCCACACAAAGCAAAAGTCATGCAGGACACCAGACCATCTGAGTCAGCAAGAAAGCCTTGTTCTAGTTGGCTTTCCCCCATGGCTCTCCTGCCCCAGAAACAGTGGCACCTTCTCTAAAGGCAGAAGGGCAGCTGAGCTTTACTGAGAGCTAGTTTATAGCAAGGCACCTATCATTAATAACAACGGCTCTGCTCTCAGTGCGCCAGATACTCTTCCCTTGGAGCTACTCCTAGGCAGGTACAACAGCATCCAGGGGCTGCTGGTGGAGAACCTGTTTCATCTCCAACCCTCACCCCATTTCACAGACTAGGAAACCAAGGTGAGAGACCTGATGAAACAGCTCGCAGGGCTGAGGTTAAAATTCAAGTCCACACCTGTATTCCCAAACCGCAGCAAGCTTGTTTCTGGAAAAGAGGCCTTTCAAGCTCCCTCCATCCTCTCCTCCCAGGTCCCTTCCCTCCACAGCACTGGCTGCTGGTCTACTGCAACAGGCAACTCCCACCCTCACACTCTGCTCCTGCAGCACCTCTTCCTGAGGAGCCCGTCCATCCCTACTGGACAGCCTTCATGCCGAGCTCCAGAGACACCTTTGCAGGTATCTGCCAGCTGCTTCCGTGAATTCCCTGTCTTCCTCATCTGCTCACGGATACACACACACTCTCCATTAGCCCCCTTCTGCTAAGGGGTAGGAGGGACAGATACCATCCCAGCCAACAGGACTAGGTTGTAAAACCACAAGCACCATGGGGAGTGGCTGCTTAACCTCACCGACTCAGCCTCCCCACCTGGAAAATGGGATAACACCTTCCATGTCAGGGTGAGAAGGGGATTCCAGGTGTGATGGAAGAGAAAACAATCTGCAAAGTGGAGTCGCTACATTCCCATTCAGTTGAAAAACACCTTATAAAAGGAAAATTCAGGGAAATGCAGCTTCTAGCTAGACGGCTGGGTCAAGTGATGTGCATATCACATTCCAGTCAAAGTAAAATCATTTAAAGCCAAACCTCTGATTAGTAAGAATGGATGAATGCAGGAGGATTAATTGTCATGTTCCCTGAGGGTTGGCCAAGCCTGATTTAGATCAAAAAGCTTATTTCAAAGCAAACAAACAAGTCCTGGATATGGTTATTCACAGGGACAAGGAGTGCCAGAAAGAAGCAACAAAGGCAGGACCTGCCTGGCAACTGCTCCTTTCTTCTCTGACTAGTGCCACTAAGGCAGGGGCAGCAGTTCAGGTACTCACTAGGGCATAATGTATGGGGTCAGAAGCCTGAGCAGCCAGGCCCTGGAAAGGCACACTACCTAGGAACTGATGTGTCGGGTGATCTTAGGCAACTCCCTCTCAAGGCCTGGCACCCCTGATGGCAGAGCAGGAGCTTCATCCCCCTACCTCTGTCCCCCYAGTTCCAGGTAATCCCACTGCCATGATGGCCAGAGCAGTAGCTTGGAACCCATCATATAAAGATCGCAAAACACAGAATGGCTAGCATTCTTTCCCTGTGAGCACCAAGGCATATTTTTATCCATCAAAACACAAACACCAGCACCAAGGAGCTCAGCTGAGGAGTTACGTCCCCCAGAGAGGGCTGCTCCAACCACAAGTCCACTGAGGGCTAGAGCACAATGACCATGTGCAGTCTTCTGCCCAGATGCACTGACCCTCCCCCGGGCCAGCCCTGATTCTGCTCTGCAGGGTGGTCCCCACCCTCTAGAARCTGGCCTGTAGGAAGCCAAGAAAATGCCCAGTGCCTCCACCTCCAGAATCCCAAGATGGGGAATCCAGGGAGATACTTGCGGGGTTCACACACAGGATGTCCCCCAGCAACACTCGTTGGCATCCAGAATGATCTGTAATGAAATATGTAGCTCTCCACATGGTACAGCACTGTACTGCTATTTAACATGATCATGTACGTGAATGTTTACAGAAGGGGGAAACGTTTGCATAACACTGATGGGCAAGATTAAAGCAGCATAAGATATTATTCTGGGTCTGTTTAGAATGAAAAGAAAATTTATCTGCAAAAATATATAGAAGAAAATGGCTTTTAAAATGTTAACACTTGAGGGCTGGGGTTGAACTCAGCTCTAGCCTAGCATGTGTGAGGCACTGGGTTAGATCTTCAGAACAACATTAACAAAAGTAAACAAATGAAGGCATTCTGTCCATCTAGAACTCCAAAAAAAATTTTTTTAAACTGTTAACACTTGATATCTCTGGGTAAACATTATGGATGGTTTTAATTCTTTAAAAATGTATTTCCCTAATTTTCTATAATAAATATACAATGTTTTTAAATTAAAGAAAGGCATTTTAAAATGTGTCTGTGACTGAGTCCAAAGGAAGTGGGCTCAGTAGGTCCCTGGCCTGGGATGTCCACATTGGCCTGGCCCGACCCAATCCCCTGGCACAGAACTGCACCTCAAGACAAGGACACAAAGCCCTTGGTGGCTCCCAGGTACCTATTTTTGCCCAGAGTATTAAAGGCCAAACCAAGGAACGGTCCAGCTCTCTCAATGTGACAAGTTCACAGGAATAAAGGGAGACTCAAAGTGGAAATGGCCTCGGTTGTGACTGTGGACAGCCACAGACCACCACCTGGCACCTGTCTGGGCCTGGCTCAAGCTGCTCAGCAGGCATGGACTGAGGGCCTGTCTCACACCAGGCACTGTGCTGGTCCTCCTTGCCCCAGAGAGGATGCATCCAGAGCCAGATGCGTCTTTGAGCAGCCCAGTCTAGATGGACAAACAACCACAAAGAGCAGTGCCTGGGGCTACAGAGCAAGAAGGGGTCCCTCAAACCATGGGAAGGGACAGGCTAGGGACTCTACAAAAGCCTAGCTGAAGGCCTACTTCAGAATGAGGCCCAGAGCCAGGCAGACAGCATGGGGGCATGTGTGTGTATGTGGGGGTTGGGGCACTCCAGCAGGGGATACACCCAAGAGAAGAGGTAGCACAGGGACAGCAAGTCAGCGTGTGGCAGGCAAAGTGCAGGAGCTGGGAAAGGGACACAGGAAGAAGAGGCCAAGAGAGAGCAGAGCAGGTTCCAGGCCTGAACAAATGCCAGGCTTAGGCAATGGACCTGACCCCACAGGCCAGAGGGAAGGAGAGGTAAAAACCATCAGGCTGTCTGGAGTCAGAGGCAAACAAGGTAGTCCAGAGAGGAGGCTGCAGGCCACGTGGGGAGAGATGAGGCTCTGCATCAGGGCAGGCATGGGGCAGACTGGGAGGCAGGAGAGACAGGAGGTGACAAACAATGTGAGGAACAAGGAGGCACAGGGTGGCCTGGCTGATGGCTGGGGGCTTCAGCCTACTTCCTGAGGTGGGGAGCAGTGCCATATAGGGCCCAAAACTCTATACCTGTTATGGTTTTTATAGCCACYATTATGGACCATGTTTGGCTTCTGTCTAATTGTAGGCATTTCCAGGGGCCAAGACTGAGCTGGGTTCCCCTTTGTGACCAGACCCAAAGGCCTGTCCAGCCCTGACCTATAAGGGGCAGGGGAGGCCAGAACTGAGAGTCCCTCTAGCCACTTCCACCTGGGAAAAGTAAGGGGAGTCTCCCAGCCAATTCTGCCTATGTCTGGGGGAGTAGGGGGAACAAAGGACCAAGCAGGAAGGAAGGAACCTCTTTCTAGATCCTTGGTCAGATGGAAAGGGCTCCTGTGAGAGCTGCAGACAGGTACTAGGTGGGGAGGGTGGACGTGTTGCCTCTGGGCCCCCAGTGGACTCCCTCATGGGGCTGCACTGAACAGAGGCAGCCAGTACCCAGGGTACCAGGGAGGGATCCTTGAGTGAGTGATGGATTCTGGCAGAAGGGAAAGTCCTTTACAAACCACAAAGCCCTGGGCCAAATGCCAGGGGTCACTGTTCAAGGTGAGGGGGGCAGGGTACACTACTTGGGGTGGGGGACAGAGGGCCTGGCTGTGCTGATCACCTGCAGGCACCAAACCAGCTAAGCCTTACCTCACCTACTGTCCTAAGTGGAGGCTATACTTCCCACCTGACTGAGAGGGTTAAACACAGTGGGGGAGTGGAGTCTTGGGGGACGCCAAGGAACTACAAATGCTTTTCCCTGGAATTTCATAACATCAACTGCAAAAAATGGGGTGAGAGGAACTTCTCTATCACACCCAGAGGGGTTGGGTCAGATTCTGCAGAAAGCCTTTATCTATCCAACCAGAAATGAAGTTTCCAGGGCAGTATCCTGCCCAGGCCAGGTCCCACCAGACAGGGTTATAGGCTGCCACGGTCCTCAGCCCTTTGGAGGCTTCAGGCTGGCTGGGCACACCAGAGCCCTGGGTGGGAACACAGAGGGTGAGGGGATCTTGTCCCGTGAGGATGGCCTTAGGCTACAGCCTAAGCAAATCCATTTTAAAACTCCAGATTGAAACCTGCAGTCTCACAGGCACGCCTGACAGAGCCCTTCAGTATGGCCCTCAGGCACAAAGACGTCACTTATCCCCACTCTGACAAACCCAGAGTTAAGCCTGTGGCAGGCTGTCCTCGCCCAATAAGAGGGAAAGGCAAAAAGATCAGGGTGGGGACCACCAGACCAGATGTTTTAACCCCAGGGTAAATGATGTCACTGGGAAATCCGGTGGCAACTGATAGGGATTGAAAGGGGGTCAAAATCCCCAAAATTTGGTATAAATAATGGAGCAAGAGAACAGAGATTCAGCCAGCCGACACTGATGCCCTCACGCTGAGAGCCTGATGAGGACCTGGACTGACATCCCAACACTTTTCACTGTTGCTGATCCTCTGCATCTTCCTCACCACTCTCAAACTCTACCGCCACATCTTGAGCCTGGGGAGAGCCTCCTCAGCCAGTGGTCAGCTCCACCCCAGGAGAAGCCTGCCTGGGTTCCTGTCCTGATCACTGAGGTCTGAATGAGTGTGCATCTGGTCTGAGTGAGTGTGCATCTGCTGGACTTAACGGATGTGATTCTGCAATCTGTATTTGGGGTAAAAATGGGAGTTCATAACCCACTTGAATCTAATGTATGAAATATGATATGTCAAGAGCTTTGTAATGTTTTGAACAACCAATAAAAAAAACTAAGGCTTGAGACTTTTGATCTGACACTTGAACTTGGCACGCAGAGGGCATGTCTGTCATGAGCCTGTCAGGATTAAGTGTGTTTGCAGTGCTTAGAATTAATCTAGAATGGTTTGCTGTGAACTGATTATGGCTACTGCAGTGACTAGCATTAAGGATTGACGTCTTTCTGATTAAGAACCTATAGAGTGAAATTGTATTGAGTGATTTGAGTGAATAAAACATTAAAAAGGGCAGAAGCGCGTGGACATTCTTTCTCCCCTCGACTGCAGATGTCGCACTTTTGCTCATCGCGACATCCCGCCGGCCAGCTGGGCACGAGCAGGTCGGCGCCTCTGGGGACACCCGCTCTGGTCCGCCAGAGCCCGGCCTCTCTGGCGCGCGCTCCCTGGGCAGCGCTTGGCTTGGCCACTACGGAGGAGTGGGCCCGCCCGGGCAGGATCGCCTCGGGCATCGCGAGGCGGGAGGGACACCCTGCCCTCCAACTTCGGGGAACTCGCGGGGGCCTTCGGGTCCGGCCACCCATCTTCTCAGAAGGGTAAACTGAGGCCCGCGGCGGGCGAGCCGCCTCGCCTTCCGGGACCCTCCCCATCCCCGGCACGCGCCCCCCGCCCCAACACTCACCTTCCGGCGAGAGGGCCTCACGCGGCGCTTCAGGCCTTCTGGTGGGTCGCGAAGTTGATCGGGAGCAGCGGGACGCGCCGGATGGTGACAACAGCAGTGGAGCAGCCGGAGCGGGCGCCGGCCAGCGCGGACTTGGGCCCGAGGGGCGGGGCAGGGGGCGGGGCCTCTGCCGCCCTCCACTCGCGGCGCGGCCTCGCGGACGCGGCTCCGGTTCTGCCCACTGAGCGGCCGGCGCACCGATCAATCACTGCGCACCTCCGCCAATCGCGGAGCGCCCCGCCTGCTGCGGCCGTCTCTCCCTCGGCGCCTCCAGGACCTTGGGCGCGGGGAGGGCAGGTCTGGACCGACCGCCTACAGCGAAAGTTTCCGAGCGGATTCGGCCCAGGACCGCGCCCTGGCCCCGCCCACAAGGCGTTCTGTGGCTGAGCTGGAGATGTGGGCGGGGTGTGTAACAGGTGGTGGGACCCACCCGCAAGGTTCCGGACGACTTTCACCCCGGACTCCGGCTCCCGGGGAACCACCTTTGGATTCATTATATTTGTTTTTGTAATATTAACAAACACGTTTTGAGCGCCTACTGTGCGCCGACACCTTAATTCCGGTGCTGCTAGACATACAGGAGCTCCCTCAATATAACATCCAGGGCAGAAAAATGCGGCCCATTTAAATGTGTACGTGTAACTAAGTATTGCTCTAAGTGCACAAAATCAAATGCAACGTAGCAGGCTTTTCACGAGGTAATTGTGGGATTCCTTTGAAAGCATATATTAGCCCAGGGAGTGATGTGAGGCTCTGGCAGTTGGGAGACCCCCTTCTTTAGGTCCCCTGAAGTGTGTGAGAGATGTGTTTTGGAGAAGAGGGAAAAGGTCCATGCTTGATACAGGCCCCCAGTCCTGAAGTGGAAGTCCCTGTCTGCTCTATCATTGGTCCCCACAGTCAATCTGAGATACCTGTCCTGGGTCATCTTTACAGAAACTGCAGTTCAGAGATGTTAGAAACAGCACTCTCTGCAAGGTGGGAGCAAATATTCCAGTGATTTTGGAGATGGATTCTGTCCATTGAGCCACTGCCTCAGGGATTTTGTCAAAGCTACAAAGTTCATCAGTCTCTGCATTTGATCCTCCAGCTGTCCCCTTGACCCCCGTCTCCTGCAACCTTTTGAGGCTCACAGGGAAGGAAGGAAGGGAGGCAAGGAAGGCTGGGCTGAGCAGTGAGGCTCTGACAAGGATCCATTTAGGGGAATTTTCACACATGGAATTTTTTGTTGTTATTGTTCCACCCTTTCACTCCTAAGGACCCGAGGAAACAAGTGGCATTGGACTCAGTTTTGTTGCTAAGAAAATTGAGTCTTAGTATTTTGTCCACAGTCACTTGGAACACTCCCCTCTCTTCTAATTCAGAAAATGCTTGTATTTTGGGACTGAGTGCATCCAAGAAAGTGTTTCCGGAAGTCACCATGAGTTACATTGTGGGGCTGTTTCCTTAGGGCTAAGTGCTGGAAGCAGGAACACTGAATCATGATGGCTTTCTCAGGTCTGTAGATACATTTTACTAAAACAAGTTAATGAGTTTCTCAAAGTTGTCTCCAGCTCATCTCTGAGAGAGCACTCATTGCACAGGGGATTACTTTAAAAAAAAAAAAAAAAAAACACTTTCCCGGAAATGGAAATTAAAAAAAAAAAAAAAAACGAGCTCTGTAATTGTAATTTGCATTTCCATGGCAACTAATTATCTTAATCTGTTCTCTGTTGCTATAACAGAATACCCAAGACTGAGTAATTTATAAAGGAAAGAAGTTTATTTGGCTCATGGTTCTGGAGGTGGGCATCTCCAAGATCAGGCAGCTGCATCTGTCGAGGGCCTCGTGCTATATTATCACATGGCTGAGAAGTAGGAACGTGGGAAGAAGGGAACACACACACAGCCTCTCTTCACAACCACCTGCTCCCCTGCTCCGTAGGCAACGAATGAAGTTGGTGGACAGTTAACCCGCACCTCAAAAAAGCTATTAATCCCTCTTGAAAACCAACCACCCTAAAGATCCTGCCACCTCTCAACACTTTGCTTTAGAGAAAAAAAATCTTTTTTTGTTGATGTTAATTTAAATTTATGGGTTTTTAAAAAAAATCTTTATTTTATTTATTTACTTTTATATGGTGCTGAGGGTCAAACCCAGGGCCTTGCATGTAATAAGCGAGTGCTCTACCCCTGAGCCACAACCCCAGTCCTAAATTTATGTTTTTAACTGACACAGAAGCTATACACATTTATGAGGTACCACATGAGGTTTCAGTACACATATACATTGCATCATGTGTAAATCATGGTAAACATATCTGTCCCCTCAAACTTTTATCATTTCCTTATGGTGAAAACATTCAAAATCCTTCTAGGTTTTTTTTTAAACACTCAGTACAACGTCATTATGTCAGCCTACTGTGCAACACAGCCAGCCCACTGTCAACCTCTTGTTCCTCTGTACCTAAAACAGGTGCCCATCTATCTCCCTCTTCCCATCCCTTCCCCCAACATGAGTTTCAGGGGACAAGCCACAGCACTAATGARTTTAGACATTTCATGTTCTTAATCTCAAGTAGTATTTGTTTCCCGTTTAAGTCTTGATATCTTTGAGACTCTTTGAAAAGCAATTAGATGAGGTTCTTTCATTTTCAACCATCCACGGTCCTCTGGCACTTTTAGGGCCAGGGCCTACCAGAACCTGCTGCAGCACCCCCTCCCAGAACAGCAGCTCTGCTCACATCTGTGAGGCTGAGAGCCAGGAGGCCTCCTCAGCAACTCCACAGGACCTTAAGAACTCATTCTTTGTCGCCTTCAAGGACATCCATGCCCTCCTCGTCTACCCGCTGCTGGCTGGCCTCTTCTGCCCAGGAGAAAAGAGCCTGGTCTTTATAGACACTGCACACACAATCACACAAAAGCAGAGACACTTCACAAACTCTTCCAGGGGACAAGCATGGGGAAGAGGACAGATGGAACCCTTCCTCTCTTGGGGACCTAAGGGAACAGAAAATTCAACAAAAATGTGCAAGACAGCTTTCAGAGCTGTCAAGTAGAACATAGCAACGTTTAGCATCTCCACAGAACTGGGAAACTCACAGTCATAGGAAATTCAGAAAGGGAACCAAGTTAGCAAAGTGGAAGACAGTTCGGAGCAAATACCCATACATCATGACGAAAAGACACGAAAGTCATCCGAAAAAAAAAGCGGAGGGGACTTGAAAGAATCCCAGGAAGGGTAGCATGCAGTTAACAGGAGTCCCAGGGAGAACTGGAAGGCAAACAGGTTAAAGAAAAAAGTCAGGCAGTGTCCCTGGCTTCAGCTATGCTCTGAGGCACGAATCCCCAGGAAACAGAAAATCTTGAAGAATTTCAGAAGGAGCATCACATCCAAAGAAAGGAGAATCTGAGTGGCCCAGATTCCTGCTGGACTTTGAAGGTACCCAGACACTCTGGTCATGTGATCGAGAGCTCTGTGTTGAGCTGTGGTGGGAGTCATCCACAGGGGGTAACAGAGAGGGTGCACCCTGACACTGCAGGGAGAAGGCCCAGTGGGCCTCGGCCTCCTGTCAGGGAGAGGAGCCCTGAAGTTGCCCTCCTGCTGAGAGGGCTCAGTCAGGGCCAAGACTGATAAATGGAGCAGACTTGCAAAACAGGAAGTGGCAGCAAGCAATGACCCTTGCAAAATATGTGGCTTAATCTAAAAGCCACTGCAGTTGCTGAGGATTCCCTAGGTGCAAGTCACAGGCTGCTGTGGGGAAGTGTGTGTTAGCCTGAAACTGAAAAACTTCAGAGCATTCCAAGACCACATCTAGGTAGGGGAGAGGGAGGAGGAAGGAAAGTCTGATTTGGCATCTGGGAGGGAGAGTGGGGAAGGAGGGGAAGTGAGGATTTCACCATTTACTATTAATACATTAAAAGAGAATATCAGTTTGACCATGACTTTCAAGAACCCAAAAACAGCAACTAGTGGAACAGAAGCAGAGGGCTTCTGAGCTAATGGGTGGAGGCTGAGGGAGGGCTGGGGAGAACAAGCCTGTAATCCGAGTGACTTGGGAGGCTGAGACAGGAGTTCAAAGCCAGCCTCAACAACTGGCGGGGGGGGGGGGGGGGGTCGGTTAGCAACTCAGTGAGACCCTGTCCTCTAAATAAAATACAAAATAGGGCTGGGGATGTGGCTCAATGGCCGAGTGCCCCTGAGTTCAATCCCTGGTACCAAGAAAAAGAAAAAAAAAAAAAAAAGGTCAATCTGAAATAAGAAAGTGGTTGATTTCAAGCCCACATGAGTGAGCGTGCCCCAGAAACCAACTCAAGTTAGCCACGTGAGCTCCTGAAGGACATGGTCTCCCAGAACAACACGGTTCTCCCATGAGTTACACAGGTCGTCCAGAGACCCCCCTAAAATAGGTGGGATCACAGTAGGTGGGCTGCCAAACAATGCTCTGTCCAACCTGGACACTGAACGGAGGCAGGTCTGCGAAGCCTAGCATGTGTTTATCCAGTGGTCACAGAAGTGCCAGGTCAGACGTGGGCCCATGACAGATGGCTGTCAAAGCCCCAAACAACCTAAGCTTCCTAATCACAGCATTTCATCTCTCCTGCAGGTCTCTATGCTCCAGTCAGCAAAATTCACACAAACTGGAAGTTCCCAAATACAAACGTGACTTTTATGGATGACTTTGGTTCACAGACCCAAAATTAAGGAAGGGGTAAAAGAGAGGAAATAGCAGGATAACAATACAGTTTAGCAAAAGGAAACATAAAGTGAGAAGAAATAAATAACTGTAGAGATCAGCTTTCATAATAAATGGGTATGGGCTGAATTTCCCAGCAAACGTCATAAGACAGTGTGAAACACTCAAAACCAGCTAGGTGCTGTTTACAGGAAACACACCAAAAATGTTGGCAAGTGGAGGTTCCAAGTGGGCATTGGAAAAGTGGAATTTAAAAAAAAAAAAAAAAAGCAACAAGAATGGCAAACTGATATTGGATAAGGAAGACCCAGAGGCAGAGCAAATTCACAGGAACAAAGAGTATTATGTAACAGTCCGAGGCACAGACCACAAAGATTTAATCATCATAAATCTCAACGTGCCGGAAACTCTAGCAGCTAAATATTTAAAG